AACGCAATGTTGATTTTAAATGTGGAGGAGGAAAAACGGATGGGCCCGGAGAAAAATCCACGCCACCACGGGGAGAGAGACACGCAAACTCAATATACTGGGGTTAGGGTCGGGGTCGAACGCGCACGACCTCCTGTATACCAGGCGAGGTAGTTAACATTTCGCCGTCGTGCTCCCAGTTGCCCGCATGGTTTGGGGTTGAAGTGGCCGGTGTTTGGCCGAGACCGCTCCCCCCTCTCTTTCTCTTCCCCCCACTTCCCCCACTTCCCCCCACTTCCCCCCACCCTCCTCCTCCTCCTCCTCAACCCAGCTACGACCCGAGCCCCCACCAGCGCGCCAGCCAAGTATTCATATCAGGCTGAGTCGACCTCGGGGAGGCCACCCCTGGCTCAGCCGCCTGCAATTAGGACCCAAACATGGCAGAGAAGCGCCCCCCTCCCGGGTGCTGATTTGGATCGGGGATGTTGAGGATCGGGGATGCCGAGGGTGGGGGACGCTGAGAATCAGGGGATGCTGAGGATAGGGGACGTTGAGGATCGGAGACGTTGAAGATCGGGGATGCCGAGGGTGGGGGACGATGAGAATGGGGGACGTTGAGAATCGGGGATGCTGAGGATCGGGGATGCCGAGGGTGGGGGACGTTGAAAATCGGGGACGTTGATGATCGGGGACGTTGAGAATCGGGGACGTTGATGATCGGGGACGCTGAGAATCGGGGACGTTGAGAATCGGGGATGCCGAGGGTGGGGGACGTTGTGAATCGGGGACGCTGAGGATGGGGGACGTTGAGAATCGGGGACGCTGAGAATCGGGGACGTTGAGAATCGGGGACGCTGAGGATCGGGGACGCTGAGGATCGGGGACGCTGAGAATCGGGGACGTTGAGAATCGGGGACGTTGAGAATCGGGGCTGTGGATTTAGACATTCATCTTTGGGGGGTGGGGGAGGATGAAGAGGGGGGGGTAAACCTCAGTGACCAGAGGGGGTTGAGTTGAGGAATTAATAAGGTGAAGGCGGGAGGGGGCGGAGGCGGGAGAGGGCGGAGGCGGGGGGGCGGAGGCGGGGGGCGGGGGGCGGAGGCGGGGGGCGGAGGCGGGGGGCGGGGGGCGGAGGCGGGGGGCGGGGGGCGGAGGCGGGGGGCGGGGGGCGGAGGCGGGGGGATCAACCGATAGGGGGTACAGACTCTGGTTCCACGCACCGTGACTGAGTTCGTGTAGGCGGACTTGAAGTCGCGAGGCCCTGCGTGTGTGAGCCTTGGGACTGTGTGTGTGAGTGTCTGGGTGGACGTGTGTGTCTCCAGCGTGTGCGTGAGTCTGGGTCTCGGTTTGCGTGTGAATTCTGGATGTTTATGTGTGAGTTTGGGTCTGTGTGTGTGTGTGAATCTGGATGCGTGTGTGAGTTTGCGTGTGAGTCTGAATCTGTGCGTGTGTGGGAATATGGGTCTCTGTGTGTCTGGATCCCTGCATGTATATATGCAGCAATTATTTCGCACCGTCCGTGGCCAATCGTGCCAATCGGAGGTGCGGAGGAAGGGCAAACCGTGTGCGAGTCTGGGTGTGGCTGTATCTGGGTGTGGCTGTAATGTCTGTATGTGTGTGCCCCAGTGTGGGTTTGTTTCTTTGTATCTTTGTGTTGCTGCTGGGGCACATGCTAATGCAAGCTATCTGGGGAAGTTTGTCTTTGTTGTGTGTGTGTGTCAGTCAGTCCATCCATGGCACTTGGGTCTGTCTCGTGCCCTGTCAGCGAGCCTTCGACACTTCACGTGGCCTCAAAGTGCACCGAGCCTGGCACAAGCGCCTAAGTGACGTCACCGCTACTTAGTGGCGAATGGTGGCTGGTGTTCTTGTACTTGTCTATAAATATGTATATCATTTTTAGGGAAGTACTCGTGAACAGCACTTTCCCCAACAGTCTGCTCGAGGCTATATGGGGAATTTCTGTATGTGTGTGTGTATGTATGTTGTGTGTGTTTGTGCATCCACTTCACGCGAGCTGTCCTCCCGGTCTCATTGTTCTCAGAGTCTGGGTCCCGACCGCGACTTGGGGCACCGCCCGTCCGGGACACTGTGTACCCCACGTCTGCTTCGCGAACTCGCACCCGGGTCCCCCCTCCCTCCCGTTCACCAGCTCCCACCCAGCTCATCGGTCCACGCTCACATAGCCCAGGTCCCCACTTCCAGGTCTCAGCATCCAGGTCTCCGATGCAAGGTTATTGGATGAGGGTGGCAGAGCACGGCGCAGAGCTTCGGGGGTGTGTTGTGGTGCAGGGTGGTGGTGGTGGTGGTGGTTTAGATGGCTAGTGCAGAGTGGGGGGTGCATAAGGTAAGGTGTTATAGTGCAGGGTGGTGGTGCAGGGTGGTTCAGGGTGCGCTCTGCGTGGCCACGTGATCACGTGTGTCCCCGACCCGTGTCGCCCAAGTTTCCCAGGATTGAAAACAGGTTTAGTTGGGGGGGAGGGGGGGGAAGACGGCGGTGTTGTGGGGGAAATGGTGGGAGGGGGGGTGTAGCCGGTAATTGCGACGCGCACTCAAGACATGACATCATCGCCGTCGCGCTTTGTATTCACGCGAACTCTAACCGTGAACAGCAGCATCAGTCACCACCACCACCACCAGCATCAAATACAAAGGTCTCCCACATAGTCTTCACAGAGTTTTAGGACAAGTGAGTGCTGGTAGCGAGCACCTACGAAGGCTTGGCACGTGCGGAACACCTAATCACGGAGCCACATCTTCATTACCACCACCCGCACCACCACCTGCACCACCACCTGTACCACCAACTGCACCACCACGGCCATTAAAATCAGACATGCATCACAACCTCCACCGGAACCATCTCCCCCATCATCTCGACCATCACCACCTCCACCATAACAGCCACGCTTATCAGCTGTCGTCACCTGACATTGCACATTATAGCCCAACGTATCAACGACCCCAACGTGGTTGCCCAATTGTGTCAGGGTCAGGATTCCGATTCGACAATTCTAAACCGGTAACCGTTTTCGGAATCTGTTACCGTTTTTTAAAATAATTCACCGATTGACTCGCGCGAAAAAGAAACGACGCGGGGGGGGGGGGGGTGTATTTGGTCTACTCTTCCACACTGTGACCACACGCATGTTGGAAGAGTTGGGTGCACCCAAACTTTACCCCACCACACTCAACCCACTGTGGTGTAGCCATTGATATTGCCGGGCGGACAGAGACCGGGCGGAGGGGAATTCACGAAACGTTCTTCATTGTTTCAGCTGCCGCGCCGGGAGGTCGGTTCGAACCGGCGACCTCTGGATCGTGAGTCCAGCGCGTCCTCCATGACGCTGCTGTGGCCGCTCCACTCGGTGCTCGGAGTTCGACTCCCGATCACGGTTAGTGGGGAGTGAACCCGCTTTGACTCTCCCCTAGGTCGACTCAGCCATAACTGAATAACCGGTGTGGTGTGCAACCATCAGGATTGGGGATACAAAGGCGTCCGTGTGTGGTGCTGGCCACCCGTGACGGCTTTCATCCATGTTCGCTAACAGCGCTTGCCCCAACAGTCTATAAAGGCTATACGGGGGTTATTTGTCTTTGTGTGGGTGTACGCGTGTTTTAAAGTTTGTGTGTTTATCTTTGTTTTACTTGGTGTGTGTAAATTAGTATGTGTGTACGCGCGTAATGCATTGCGTATGTATATATGTATGCGGGTGTGTGTACGAGTTGTATATTATCTTAGTGCTTGTTTCGCTTTCGGAGAGGTTGAACAGTGTTGGAGAGGGGGTGCTGTTTGGGCTCTCTATCGGAATGCGTCCACCCCTCTCCTCCCAGAATCATCGCCAATTTTCTCGCCTGAAATCAATGCGCGTTGGCGATTTCCATCTGGCGTGCTATGATGGTGGCGGTGATAGCAGCGACGGTGATGATGGTGTGGTAGTGATGACGACGACGACGACGACAATGATGATGGCAGTGAATGTGATGATGAGAGTGATAAGGATGGTAGTGATGAATGATGATGTTGGAAGTGATGATGATGATGGTGATTGTGATCGTAACGATGATGCTGATGCTTGTGATGATGGTTGTGGTGATGGTTGTGACCACCCACGCGAGTAAATGGATGAATTCGTTCCTTAATTAATTCATTAATTAAGTGCTCGGCAGGGGTGGGAAGTGGCGCGAGGGGAGGGGGGTGCCGCCTTTTCCGCGCCGCTCAATTTGTCGCGAGAAATACGCCGCGCTGCGGGGGGCGGGGAGGGGGCGAGGGGCGGAGGGAGGGGGGAGGGAGGGGGGGAGGGAGGGGAGTACAGAGAGGGGAGGGCGGCGAGGGGGGGGGGACGTGAAGGACGGAGGGGTCGCGTTCTTGAACCCCCAAGTATTTCACACAAAGTGTCTCTAGGACTGCGGGTTCGTGATGGTAAGCGTCATTGCGGCGGTGATGTAGTGATGATGGTAATGGTGTTGTTGATGTTGGTGACAATGTTAGTGATGATGTTAGTGATGATGTTAATGGTGATGTTCTTGATCACGAGGCGTGGCTGCTCACGCCTCTCCGCTCCCCGTGGCGCGCATCGCTTCTATTTCCCGTGACTTTTCTCCCCTCCAGATCATTCCCCTCGCTCCCAGGGGGGGTTACGGTGACCCCCTCGCCGCCCGCCCCCACCTGAGGAAGACTCCCCACCACCACCCCTCCGCCCAGCGTAACAATAACAAGGCGCGCATCCTGCACCCTCATCGACCCCCTTTCGCACCACGGGGCAGTTTGATCCCCTGCATCGGTGAGGATGTTGGGATGCGAGGAGGGGTGGGTTGGAGGGAGGGCGAGTTAGGTAGGGGGATGTGGGGGGGGGTCTAATGTTCTCTGTGGTTTGTTTTATCCGTTGCCCACAAGCGCAGCGCGCTCCGATCCCAGGGGGCCGCAGTCTGCGCCGTGCTCCTGACGTCACCGCCAGTCCCCCCTGTATCCCATTCACCGCCCCCCCACTCTCCTCTCTAATACCCCCGCACCCCTATCCCCGTAGCCCCTACCCCCTTCCTGGTGGGAGGGCCGCGCCTCTCACTTCCCTCTCCAAGGTGGAACTCGCAGCGCGCGCGTTTCCTCGGCCCCGCGTCTGCAGAAGGGAGCCGCGCGCGCGCACGCATTGGTCGCTCCTCGACTCACCCCCCCCCCCCCCCCTCTCTCTCTGCTCCTCCAGACTCTCCTCTGCTGCCCGAGACTCTCCTCGGGTCCCCTAGACTCTGTCTCCTTCTTTCCGTATCTCGCGACTCCTTCCTGTTCCCCGCTCCTCTTTCTCGCTCTCTTCTTCCTCTGCGCTCTCCTCGCCAACCCCCCCCCCCCACTCTCTTTCTCCGCCGCGCTGCAGCGGAGGGGGAGGCGCTGAGCCTGAAGCTTGGGGCTTCCTACCGGAGGAGAGAGGAGCAGGGAGAAAGAAGCGAGAGCTAAGAGAGAGAGAAAGTGAAGAGAGGAGCAAGACACGCAGCAGCGTCGGTTACAGAACTCAGCGCGCAAAGACCAAAACGTACACACACACAGCCAAAGATCCTCCGTATAGCGTTTAACGGACTCTTGGAGCAAGTGCCGTTCGAGAGCACATATTACATACACACACATACACACACACTGCGCGCGCGTGCACATACTCTGACAACGTGTACATTACACTCCAACGCTACACTCATACAGAGCTCACCCCTACACACCAACCCGCCACAGCACACTCACGCCGCTACTCTCGACCCCCTTACACCCCTACCCCTCCACGCGCCAACACCCCCTACACACTCGACTCGTCGTCCCGCGGACGCTATGGGTGCTACCGGCGCGGCGCTGGGGACTCTGCTGGTGGCACTCGCGGTTCTCCTGGAGCCCGTGGAGCCTCTGGAGCCCGCGCAGGCGGCAGCAGCAGGACGAGAGGGCCCCGCGTACGCGAGGCAGCCGCTGGGCCGTGGCACGATTCGCAAGAGGTTGGTGCCGGGTCCGCCCGGCTCCGCGCGCCTCGTGTCTCTGTCGCGGGACGAGGTGGTGGTGCTGGGAGCCGGGGCCACGCGGCACAGCGGGTGAGCGCGTGGGCTGTTCCTAACTTCCACCTCCTCACCTCCACCATCTCACTGATACGTCCTCACCGACACCTCCTCCACCGCCTTACTTCCATCTACTCACCTCCTAATCACCTCCTCCTCATCACCACCACGCCACTTCATCCAGCGGTGCCAATATGCGTCATACGACTAATCACGAATGATACATATACATGCATGTACACACATCTCTTAATATAACATGTACGAACACATGTATTTACACGTATACATGGACACAACATACGTGCATATACATACACACAAAGTGTATGCACTGACACACGACATGCAGAATCCATACACCCATACAACATGCACTGTACACACACACATGCACCCACGTCAAAATGCATTACATGCATGTAACATGGATGCATGCATGCAAAACACACATCTTAATGCGTGAACACATGAATACAAGCACACACATGCACATCACGAAAACATACGTACAAACATGTACACAAAGATCCCCCGTGTTGCCTTTTACAGGTTGTATATATATAAAGATTTGACCCTTTCTGGCCATAAAACAGGTGTTAAGATGTTCAAACACCAAATAAAAACCTCGTGCAATGAATCGTGTAACAACTATATATTTTTTCATACTTTGTGACTGGCAAAAAAAGGTCTCATCTTTTACAGACTCTTCAGGGCAAAGCCCTGTTGGCGAGCTCCGATGTAAACGCCCACACACAGACACGTACACACCACACACGCGCGCACGTGTGTGTGCACGTGTATATACGTGTGTGCACGTGTGTATACATGTGTGTACATGTTTGTGTGCGTGTGTGAGTCGGGACAGAGGTGTCATCGGGAACAACTTGTTTTGGTCAGGAATGCCCGGGCACAAGCAAAGAGTAATTTAATGTCGCCAGCAGCAGTGGCACGAGTAGCAGCAGCATCATCATTATCATCAATCAGCAGCATCTATTATTGTTATCATCAGCTATGATATTCCTAGGAAAGCCTCACTGAATCTCAAGACGCATGTCACCGTGCGTCCTGCCTCGGGTCGTTTGGCGGATTCCACCCTGGGCAGTTTTGTGTCCCCAGGGCTCGGTCCCCCACGACGCTGCTGATGATGATGCTGCTGCTGATTAAGGAAATGTTTCTGCTGATTATTATTTTGATACTGCTGATGATGCTGTTGTTCACGAAGCAGTCACTGCTCCTGCTGCTGCTGCTGATGATGATATAGTATGAGAGTGACGTTTAGAGGTCACGCCGTGTTTACTTTAAGGGGCGATACCCCCCGTGGTGCTTGATGGGCTGTTTTCGGGGGGTTGCAGATTTTAAGAGTCAATGGCGGGAGGGAGGAGAGAAAAGTGGGTGGTGCGGGGATCATGAGAGTGGTTAGTGGGGGGATTGTGAGAGCGTGGTTGAGGGGGCTAGGGCGGTTCAGGTTGGCAGGAGTTGATGTGCGTTGAGCGGGCAGGCCCACAGTAGTCGTCGAGGAGGAAGAGGTGGGGGGAGGTGCAGGGAGGAGGAGAGGGGCTGTAGCTGTCACGCGTGTCTCGCGGCGCCACACAGCCCCCTTTGTCCTCCGTGGCGCTCTCGCCAACTCGATGCGACGCTGATTAAACCCGGAGTCGCGGGCGTGACGGCCCCGGGCGGAGTCTCGCTCCTCACGGCTAATTACCCCCCACGCAGCCAGTCAGGGTCGCCGCGTGTGGCTCAGTGCGTCGGCTTGCTGGTGGGGGTGGGTGGAGAGGTGGAGAGGGAGTCGTCCTAACGACGGAAACAGCGAGAGGCGGTAAGCGGTGCAGTCAAAGTCATCAAGGTCACGAGGTCAGCAATGCCAACGCAGCCATCGCTTCCTTCCTGCCGGCGCATTACGGCAGCTGGTGCACAGTCGACTCTTATTAATGTCTCACCACCGCCGCCAGCAGTTACTCACGGGACCTCGGGTCTCCTCTTCCCCTAGGGGCACCGGCTTCGGGGCGCAGCTCCGATGCCCGGCCCGGTGACCGGCCCTGCTCGCCCCCCCCCCGTCCCTCACCCTGCTCACCACAGCCTCGGGTTCCCCGGGCACCTCCATCGCGCCTTCCCACGCCACGCTCCATGCGGGACTGAGCTGATTTGGACTTTAATTGGCCGGCATGGCATTGCTGTTCGCGAGAGCGGGATGCGAGACGACGAGGGTGGTGAAGAAGGAGGGAAGGGGGGAAGGAGCTGGCGAGGTTCGGTATTGGAAGAGTTTTGCGGTGGGGAAAGGGGGGGTGAGTAGGGAGGGCTCCTTGGCATGGGTTATTGGGGGCTCGTGACCCCATTGCAGGGGGCCATTGTTTACAGTGCCCCGAGTTTTTGTTGCGGAACCAGGAAACGAGTACAAAACAAACACAACGACGACAGCCGCCACTCACCGACGGTGACGTCGCCACAGCGCTTGTGCCAGGCTAGGTGTGCACCTTAAGGCTATCGCGTGAAATGTGGAAGGCTCGCTGGCAGGAGGTCAACGGGCAGATCCAAGTGTTGAGCATGGGTCAACTGAGCGGGATGCGTGTGTGTATGTTGAACATCTTTCACATCGTACGGAGCGAACCGCGCGGAGGTGCGGGGGAAGGGACAGCAAACTCAAGACAAAAAGCAGTTTTAAAGGAACGAGTTTTCAATATATATTTAAAAGTGCATAAGCTCCAGGGGCATCCTAATATCGGGAAGGAACATCGTTCCAGGCGGCCGCAGAAGCGCGTCTGAAAGCGCGCAGACCGTCTTTGTTCGATGACTCGCCAAAAGCCGCCGCTGCTGCCAGGATGAGCGGAGTCCACGTGGTTCATTTTTGACGAAGGTCCCGCTGCCCCCCCCCTCTCTCTGCAGGGTGAACGTGTGCGAGGGGGGGCGGTGCTGCCCGGGGTGGACGATGGGACCCGACTCCCAGCGCTGTTCCGTGCGTGAGTGGCTCCCCCCTCACTTCTCAAGAACCCCCCCCCCCCCCCGCCACAACATTCCCCACTCGCCGCCTCCCCACACACTTCCACCAACTCCACACACTCAACAACCCTAATTGAGCTTAGTAAACACGGATAGTATAGGCAAACCAGAGGAGTCGCGACATCTGCAGCTTTGCCTATCAGCTCGCCTACCTGTCTCCCCACTCAGCTGTCTGCCCACTCAGCTGTCTGCCCACTCAGCTGTCTGCCCACTCAGCTGTCTCCCCACTCACCCGTCTATCCACTCACCTGTCTCACCACTTATCCGTCTACCACCTCACCTGCCTACTCACTCACCTGTCTCCTCACTCACCTGCCCCTTTTGTCTTCATGTCAGTCCTTTCAAGTGTCAACTCACTCACCTGTTTAGCCACTCACCTGTCAACTCACCTGTCTACACACTCATCTTTCTCCATGGCTACCTGTAAATCCACTTACCTTTCGACTCACTGACTTGTCTATTTGCTCACCTGCCGGCCCACTCACATGTCCTTCGTCTACAGATCAGCCCCTTCACCTGTCTACCTACTCACCTGTATCCCCACTCACCTGTTCACCCACTCCCCTGTCTACCCTTCACACTTCTCAAGTCACTCACCTGCCAACTTACCTGACGAACCACTCACCTTTCTCCCGAGCTACGAGCTATCCTGTAAATCCAGTTACCTTTCGACCCACGTGTCAACTCACTCACCTGTCAACTCACTCGCCTGTCTATCGCCACGTCCACCTGCATTCCTTCCCACTTACCTGCCTCCTTGCCAACAACCCGTCCATTCGCCCGCCTGTGCTCCCCATCCCCGTGCTCGCCGCTGCTCGCCGCTCCCTCCTGACCCTCCGCGCGCCCCTGGCACCGCGATGCCGCGCTGAGCCACACGGGGGCGCCGCCTCCACTACGCGGGCCGGGAGCCGCGAGGGGCGGGGGGGGCAGCCGTGGGGTGGTGGGTCAGGGGAGGGAGACGTGGAGGGGGGGGGGGAGATGCTGGAAATGATAACGGTGAATGGATCGACGTAAGAATCTAATTAGTTGTGAGTCGTGCGTGTGCAGTGTCCATGTGATTCTGGGTGCTGTAGAAAGCCACGGAGTTAACCGCGTCAATGGAGATTCATAGAGAGAATTGGACTGCCGCCCCTCAGTGAATTCCCGTCATGCCCCCCCCCGCCACTCGCCTTGCTTTCCTAGCTAATTGATACGCCCCCCCTCCCCCGCTCTAAGGGTGTTCATGGAGAATAGGCGGAGGCTCTCCCACCCGCAGCAGGCGTGCGACTTCAGGGCCGCAACGTTACCCATGCCCCCCCCCCCCGCCCGTACCCCCGCCCTCTCTACCGGTCTAGCCCACCGCACTTACCCACGCGGCTGGAATCACAACAACAATAACTTGGCGACTTTCTCCGTCAATCAGCGCTCGCGGTGCCGCTCTCGCTCGGCCCTGAGCAGTCCCCCCGGCATTGTGTTTGGTGGTGGTTTTGTTATTGACTCCATCCTGAGGGTGTTTGTGTGGAAGGCGTGGGGGGGGGGGGGGGGGGCTCCACCCGGCGGCTCCCCGCGGGCACCACCTCTGGGTTTGAGCTCCGAAATTTCCGAGCTTTCTCTCCAAACATCACAACTCACCCCTTCACCCCCCCCCCCCCCCCCCACAGCGCACTCTCGTTTTTCCTAGAAGTTGCCGCTTTCCCAAATCGATGGAGGAGACATTAAAATGATTCACGGAGCCCAACAGAGTCGCCTGCCCTCGTGTTTCCACCTTAAACTGCTACCCCCACCCCAAACCGCCCCCCCCCCCCTCATGTCCAGTGACCCACTGCCCTCTGTTCACTGCGCTCAAGGCTCTCAGGATCCAAGTGCGCTCTTGAAAGACCTTCCTCCACTGTGGAGCTAGAGGGTTGGTGCTCCGCTGTGGAGCCAGAGGGTTGGAGCGCCACTGTGGAGCCAGAGGGTTGCAGCTCCACTGTGGAGCCAGAGGTTTGCAGCTCCACTGTGGAGTCAGAGGATTGCAGCTCCACTGTGGAGCCAGAGGGTTGCATTTCCATTGTGGAGCCAGAGGCTTGCAGCTCCACTGTGGAGCCAGAGGATTGCAGCTCCACTGTGGAGCCAGAGGGTTGCATTTCCATTGTGGAGCCAGAGGCTTGCAGCTCCACTGTGGAGCCAGAGGGTTGCAGCTCCACTGTGGAGCCAGAGGGTTGCAGCTCCACTGTGGAGCCAGATGGTTTCAGCTCCACTGTGGAGCCAGAGGCTTGCAGCTCCGCTGAAAGCAAACAGCGAGCGGTGAACGCAGATGTGAAATTTCAAACGGTGCGCGTCAGATCACAGGGGCATCGCGTTGTAAACCCCTCCCGATGCCGACACCGCGTTGCGTGTCACTGAAGTTTATTCCGCGGCTCGCGGTCTCCCAGGGGAGCTGTGACATCTCCTGCTCCATGGCGGAGGAGGTGGCTCTCGCAGCCTGGAACAGGAAAACCCCGCATTGTAGACGGCGCCTTGCAGCCTGACCGGAGTGTCTGTTATCTCAGTTGCTGCCCCGTGCCCTCCTTGACCATTGCCCTCCCTGCCCCGTGCCCTCCTTGACCCTTGCCCCGTGCCCTCCCTGCCCCGTGCCCTCCTTGACCCTTGCCCCGTGCCCTCCCTGCCCCGTGCCCTCCCTGCCCCGTGCCCCCCTTGACCCTTGCCCCGTGCCCTCCCTGCACCGTGCCAGCGTTATTCACGATGCAACAGACGCGAGTCTCGTTCTCCGTCTGCTTGGAGAAATTCACGAATTTGTCACGAACTTCAGGGCGGCTCCTGCTGCATCGGGGGGAGCACGAGCGAGGCTTGGCGGTCGTGTAGCCATGCACGTGGCTTAAGCTCTGCACGTGGTTCAGTCTTAGCCCTGCGCGTGGTTCAGTCTTAGCCCTGCGCGTGGTACCGTCTTGGCCCTGCACATTTTACATCCCCGCATCAGGCGCTGCCGGGTGCCAGCAGCAATAGCAGCGAGGCTTGGCAGTCGATTGGATCGCCTTAGCGCGACCCCGCGTGGGGCTCCGCCCGCCTCGCCCCCCCCCCCCCCGCGCCTTGCATTGTGCGTGGTGCAGGAAGATTGCTGGACGCCGCCTCGGCTGGCGAGGAAGAGACGGGCGAAAGGGGGGAGGGTGCGGTGAGAAATTTGTGGGGTGCATGGTGATGGAGAGTGGGTGCACAGAGAAGGAGACGGAGATTTGGGGGGGGATGAGGGGGGTTAGGGGGGGGGCGCCCTCCCTCCCTCCTCCCCTCGTGCCGGAATGTGCAGCGGTGAACATTTTATGGAAATGAGATCACTGCTACAAAAGTAAATAAATAAATAAGGCCCTGAGCCCCGTCCGCATGTTTCAGTCTCACCGAATTAAAGTAACGAATCGCGATGACGAGGGGAGGGGCGGATGGGAGGAGTGGCGGAGGGGGATGAGGGGTTTGGGATGGAGGGTGCTTGAGAGAACGGAGAAGGAGGGGAAGGGATGCGAATGCTTGCAGGGGAAGAGCGGAGGAAAGTAAGAGAAGCGATTTAAGGGAGGGGAGAGATGCGCATGATGAGGACGTGAGGGTGGGATGTGAAGAAGGAGAGTGTATTGCGACTCTTTCCTGGCATCTCCCCCTCGCGTGGGGTCGTCTGTCTCCACCCATTACTGTCCACGGATTGACTCCACAGTCCTTGACATGGGCGAGGGACGTTGGCAGAGGGCTGTGTAAGACGGGGACATGCGACGATGGCAGAAAGAAATGCGAGGACGGTCGGAACGGATGTGAGAGGCGCGTGAGGAATGTGAGCTCGAGACGTGAGAGACACGTGTACGGTGTGAGATGTTACAACTTACACGTCCGTCGCACGTCTTGGTACAGATGGGGAACGCTCACACCTGCGCTTACACCTGTGACCCTGCGTGACCCCGCGTGACCCCGTGTGCCCCCGTGTGCCCCGTGTGCCCCCAGCTCTGTGCCACCCCCCGTGCCTCAACGGGGGCATCTGCATACGGCCGCAGGTGTGCGTGTGCCAGCCCGGGTCCCGTGGCCGCAGCTGCCAGGAGCTCACCTCTCCACCCCCCGCAGCGCCGGCCATCCCCCTTCCTCCGGCGGCGGCCCTGCCATTGCCCCTGGCCGTGCCCTTCGCCCAGGCTGGGATGCCCTCGCTACCCCCGGCTGCCCTCGTCGCGCCGCCGCGGGGTCCCAAACGATCGGCGGAGCGCGCCGTGGGCCCCCCCGACTCCCACGAGGCGCCGGGGTCCGCGCCGGGCGTGTCGCTGCTGCGGAAGGGCCCGGGCGAGGGGACGGCGGTGGTGGTGATGGGCACGCCGGGGATGCCCTCGCCGCATGTTCCGCTGCCCCAGGACCTGCCCTCCCTGCGGGACCTGCCCTCGTCGCCTGAGGAGGTGCAAGAGCTGCTGCGCACGGCGCCCGAACGCGTAGCGCAGATGCTGGCGGGGTCCCTGGGCGAGGCGGCGCGACGCCTGGGGGGGGCCCCGGGAGGAGCTGGGGCCCCGGGAAGTCCGGGGACGCCTGACTGGGCTATGCTGAGCGCCGTGGAGGAGGCGGCGCAGAAGATCCTGAGCCCCTTGGGGGGCACGGCGCACATGACCGTGCGCATCCAGAGGCAGCCGGCGTTGGTGATGTCCAACCAGTGAGTGAGGGGAAGGGGTGGGTCAGCGCATGACCTTTTGGGTTTGTACAGCGGCCCTGATGGCGAGGAGAGCGCCGATACACATCAGGCAGTTTACAAGCAATCGATTCGAGCGAGCCAGACTGCTAATGAGGCACGGAATGTGGAAACTGGTGCTAAATCAATGCTGCTGAAAATGTGCACTTCCAGAATGCCGTGTGGCCGTTGGCTTGGTTAAAGACATTCTTTCGTGTTTTGTGCGGCGAGACGGAGATGTCTCGGCACAATCCGGGTCTGGCGAATAATCGCCCCTCGAGACGCTCCATAAATATGAAGAGGAAGAGCAGCGTAGTGTGGGTTTGGTGGCGCAGTAGTTATCCAACTGCACTACGAACTGATCGACCTGATTTCAATTCCTGGCCACGGCTGACATTAATGGCGCATGATATATGACGCGACGCCCCCCCCATCACCTAACCCGAATACTAAGCAATTAACGCTGTCTGCGTTTATGGATCCGATTCAAATGAAGATTGAGGTATCTGCGTGTCTGTGTGTACACGTTTTACACGTGACGCAGACAGTGCTAGTTGTTCAGCGTGTCGCGTGGGACGTGTTTAACAAGCATCGGGGACGTGCAGCGCGGAACGAGTTAATGTTTATTTGCATGGGGAGGAGTAAATTGGTCGACGCGGTTGCGTGGTCGTGTGGTCGCGGTGGGGCGCAAGGTCTGGAGTTCGTGGAACCCCGGAGCAGAGCAAAAGTCTCCCCTGATGAGTGCTCGTGGTGCTGCTGCTGCCATGCCGCTTTCCCTCCGCCGTCATTTCGGGCTGTACCGCCGCGTGTCGTTCGGCACGATGGCCGACGTTTCGCTCCACGTACTGGGAGCTTCTTCGGGAACCGCAGAGGGAGGTGTTGACCCTGAACCTGGACAAGGGGAAGGACCCCAGCAGAGTCAGGCCATGGAGGAGGCGGCAACGCCGTTTGTGGGGTGGCTGCCTGGGAGGTGACGGTGACCCCGTCACGGTATTTCCTACGGAGCTGACCTGGCGGTGGGCCGGTTCGTGCGTGTCTTGCAGGGTGCGGACGGTACCCCACGGGGCTCTACCCCCTCCCCAATCTCGGGGCACCGAGATGCGCCTCCCCGCGGCGGGGGGGTCCCCCCACGTGATCAGCACGGGGAGCCAACACTTCATCATCGGTGGCGAGGGCAGGGCTGAAGGTCAGTCCGGCTGGTACTTCTCTCGTTCATTCACTCACTCGATTATTAACTCATTCACAAACTCATTCAATCTGTCGTGCGTTCAATCAACCATTCATTCATTACTTGGTCAGTCATTCATAATGTTCATTAATTAACTAAAACAATTTGACACGCACTCACTGACCCGCACACACGCCTGCTCACCCACCCACTCATTTTTCCATTCACTCTTAATTCATTCATGCGGTCTTCACTTATTAACTCAATAACCCACTCATTTACTCACCCACCCAATCCACTCATTAATTTGCTTATTTAATCAGTCATTCACCCACTCACTTGCTCTCCAATTCACTCACTCATCCGCGGTCTTTTCACTTACCCACTCGCTAACCGATTCACTCACCCACTTACCCACCCATCCACGCACACATCCGCTAAACCACCCATTCAACCAACCACTCACCCACTCGCCAACTCACTCGTCTATCCGCTGCAAAACAAATGCAGACTCGTACATGGTGATATCATGGGAAAGAGGACGGATTTTATTTACGTGGAGGAAAGACGGGGGGGGGGGGGGGGGGTGTGGACAGGAAGGTAATTCGTGCCAACAATCTATCGCTTTTAGCCGAGCGGTTCTTTTATTACCCTCGATGTGTTCTCGCGCGCTCGCCTTAAACAGAAACACGGGCGGGACGCGACTAAGCGCGCCCGGGGAAATGAAACCCACGTGGAACCCACGTGGAACGCGCGGCCGCTAATTGAAGACACGTGACCGCGCCTCTCCCGCTGATAGCTCATTAAGGCAATTAAAGAGCCACGCCCCCCCTCCCCCCATCGCCCCCCACCCCAACCACGCGTGAAGTTTGTTTCCCCGTGCATAGACTGGTCCCCGCCGTGGGAATGTGGGATTTCCACCACTGGCTTGAGGATTGCGCAGCGGATTGTGGCTGCTGCCACGTGCGCGGTTGGCGATGGAGACAGCGGCGCTCCACGCAGTGGCACCCGGACCGCAGTGCGGAGAGGAGGGGGCGCCTGGCCAAGGGGTCGAGCTGAGGTCAGGGGGTCAGTGGCAGAGAGAATACTCGTGCCTGGGTGGGTCGTTGGGTGGTTGAGTAGTTGGGAAGTTGTTGCGCAGTGTTCGGCGTCGTCCTAGTTACTCGCGGCCCCTTGGATACGTCGTTCACCTTCGGCGTGTGGGGTAGGTCCCCCGTTCGGTTGGCTAGTTGGTTCGTGTCAGGGGGGTAGAGCTTAACGCAGTTGTTGATTGGCTAATTGGAGTATAGCTAGAGCTAAACTGAGTGGCTGATTGGTTGTTTAGGTAGGCCTCGGGATCGAGTTGATGGTTGGTTCGTGGTTCCCCTACCCTACTACACCCCCGGTCCCCCCCCATCACCAAACACTCACCACGCTGTCAGACTGGAATGGCGGTGAGGTGCCTTGGCTCGGAGCCGAAGTCTAAAATGGTTTGAGCCCACATGGGAGCACGGGAAAGGTGCTGGGGGGGGGGCTCTTGTTAGCTCCCCCTCCTCCCCCCCCCCCCCCGCGTTTTATGTAACCACTTATTACACAACGCGCTGTCCGTGTCAATCGGCGAGGCACGACCGTCATTGCGGGCGCGGCACGACCGTCATTGCGGGCGTGACGAGGGCATCGATTCATCGCGCAAACCGATTCGTACGGAGGGAGTAGGGATGGGAGGGAATGGAGATGGGAGAGAATGGAGATGGGAGGCAGTGACGATGAGAGGGCGAGGGTGGATGGGAGGGAATCGGGATGGGAGGGAGTGGGGTTGGGAGGGAGTGGGGATGGCAGGGAAGGAGTGGGGTTGGGAGGGAAGGAGTGGGGTTGGGAGGGAGTGGGGATGGGAGGGAGTGGGGATGGGAGGGAGTGGGGATGGGAGGGAGTGGGGTTGGGAAGGAGTGGGGATGGGAGGGAGTGGGGATGGGAGGGAGTGGGGTTGGGATGGAGTGGAGTTGGGAGGGAATGGGACGGAGTGGGGGTGGGAGGGAGTGGGGGTGGGAGGGAGTGGGGATGGGAGGGAGTGGGGATGGGAGGGAGTGGGGATGGGAGGGAGTGGGGGTGGGAGGGAGTGGGGGTGGGAGGGAGTGGGGTTGGGAGGGAGTGGGGTTGGGAGGGAGTGGGGATGGGAGGGAGTGGGGATGGGAGGGAGTGGGGATGGGAGGGAGTGGGGGTTGGAGGGAGTGGGGATGGGAGGGAGTGGGGATGGGAGGGAATGAGGATGGGAAGGAGTGGGGATGGAAGGGAGTGGGAATGGGAGGCAGTGAGGATGGGAGGGAGTGGGGATTGCAGGAAGAGAGTGGGGGTGGGGGTGAGTGAGGATGGGAGGGAGTGTGGATGAGAGTGGGGATGGCAGGGAGAGAGTGGCGATGGGAGTGAGGATGGCAGTGGGAGGGTGGGAGTGAGTGACGATGTGATGGTGGGAGTGAGGATGGGAGGAAGTGATACGTGAAGAGAGTGAGGGTGGTAGGGCGTATGGATGAGTGGTGGTAGCCAGTATGGGAGGGTGGAGGGATTGAGGATAATTTGGAGTCTTGGGGCGCGAATGAATCGCGGGGCTCAACTCGGGGCTGGCGTAGCAACGACTTTCAAACGTGGGGGCATCTATTCCCCCACCCGACCCCCACCCTCACCCCCCACTCTCCACCACTCCCTCTTCCCCTCTCATAAATTCACATCGCCGTGTAGAATTTAAAAACCGCGGGATCCCCGTGGCCCAAGATCCCCCCCCCACCTTTCCCGTGATCCTACCCTGTCCGTCTTTGTATCTCTCGCTCTCTGTCTCTCTGCGTCAAGGGCTCCACCCAGCACCCCGACTGCGCGCGAGGTTTGTTCAGGGCCAGGTCTGCGTGCCGAGTGCTGCGAGCGTGTGGGAGGAGAGTGGAATGCCGGGAGTGAAACCCACGTGAGCCAGGGGATGCCACCCAAACTGTCGGTTGCGCACTGCGCGTTGCGCTCCAAACCGGCGGCCCCGTCGAGGCGAGGGAGGTGGTGCCGCCAATAACATCTGGCAGGCGAGCAGCAGCAGCAACAGCTCTGTACAGTGCTTGTTTGAGGATGGGAGCCGTGTTTACATGGGGAGACCGCGCGTGAATCGTGCAGATTCGCGTTACTCGGAAACAGCAGCGAGCGAGAGTTGCTTGGCCGGGCGGAGCGGTGGCGCGGCGGATAGCGCGTTGAACCCTGCACCCGGTGCGCCGAGTTCGATTCCAGGCAACAGCTTGACATCGATAGCGAGTGATATCTAAACCGATCCTGGACCACCATCCCTTCACCGACACGCACTGATCAGCATGGGGAAGTATGGTAAAACAACCTCCAATACCGACACGCAGTGGGATGGCCTTCATCCAGCAGTCGATTGACAAATGACTATGTTGCGGCAAGCTAACCTATTTGGTCTACTGTCACCTGCTGGGCAACGCTTAGCGCTGCAGGCGGGGAGTCACTCCACGTGATGATGTCAGCGCGGTCACACTCAACGTGGGTCAGCTAGGATCAAGGGGAGGGGGGACGGGGGGGACACGCCGGGGTCACGAAGATAGAGGGAGGGGAACGGGGGGGGGGGGACACGCCGGGGTCTCAGGGGTCACGAAGGTGGAGGGGGGTTCCCCACACCCAAACCCGATCCCGTAAAGGGGTACGGCTAGGAGATCTTCCCGAGCCCAGTGGGAGAGGCCCTCGCGCAGCTGCGCGGCATCGCTCCCCGCTCATCCCTGCAGCCGCACAAAGCAAACATTTGTAAGCGACTTGGCAGGCGAGGCAGGTGGGAAACAGGGGGAGCGTTTGATGTCCAATTTCAACTCCCCCCCCCCCCACTCGCCTCCCACCCCTGCCACCCTCCAAACTACCCCCCACGCCCTCCAACCCTCTCGAATACACCAAGCAAGCAAGCAAGCCCGGCCCCATCCGCCCTCCTCTCTCTCAGTCCCCACGTGGCCCCCGCATCTGATGTCATTTTGGCAAAAATGCACAGGGGGGGGGGGGGTTAGGGGCACCACGCCTCTCGCCTCCACCGAGGCCCCCGGCCGCGCTCCAACTTTGGCTTTTTGGGATTTGGGTTTTGGGTCGCTGCCCCCCCTCGTCTCCCTCTCCCCCTCTCTCCTCCCCCCCGCCCGCCCGCCCCCCCTCTCTCAATAAAGGTGTCCGCGTCTCTCGGCGGGACTCACAGTCTCCCCGAGAGGCGAGAGGAGCGCGGCGAGTAACGGGGAATTGCTGAGCGGCGCGCGCGAGTTCTGTCTGTCTCGGTCTCTGGGTGTCACACTCAGCCACACACAGACATACACGGATATCGATACACACACATATACAAAAACACATCCACGGGTGCACACGCAACCCACCACACACGTGCGCGCGCACACACAAATACGTAGCCACCACACCCACATAATCGCACATTCACCCCCATACACCGACACGCAATGCGACGCAATCGCTGGCCCAACCGTGGCGGGCCCCACACCTTCCCCGACACTCTTTCCGGGTCCCCCGCGATCCCCGTGGCCCGCCTTCTCCTCCTCGCGTCCGTGGTGGCAGCAGCGGTCGCAGCAGCAGCCGCGGCGGGAGGCGGGGGAGCGGCGAACGGCACGGGGGGGCGCATCAGGGTGGTGCTCGCCCCCACGGTGTGCCGCGCCGTGTGCTCGACCCGCACCGGGTGCCGGAACGCGTGCGAGCGCGGGAACGCGACCACCCTGGTGAGCGAGACCGGGCGCGGCGTGGACACCCTCACCGGGGCGGGGTTCACAGTGGGTGAGTGGCGTGGCACGCGCACGCGCGCGCGCACCTACAGCCAGCTATCGCGACACACACATCTGCAGCAAGTGTGATACACGAAGCCAGCCACGATAGCGGCACCATCATCATGCATCCCCCCCCCGCCCCTATTCACCAGCTTTAGCGAACTCGGGTTCGCATTCGGAGGGAGCCAAATAAGTCAACGGGCAACACAACTCTGATTGCATTTACGTCCAGTCCAATTTGAGTTCATCGTCTCCCTCGTCGTGATCGTTTTCATATTCCCGATGATTGCACTCAAAATAAGCGAAGTGATGCAAATGGTGTATGTCTAAAACACTCTGTGTGACATTTTACGTCTCTGGCATACCGAATTGTGATGAGCAGCGATCCGTATCCATCCATTCCCATTCTCTATCCGTGAAAAGTCTCACAATTCATCTGACATACAACTCTACCTCTCTGCCCTCTTAATGTGTGTGTTTGTTTGTTATTTGTGCGATTCTGCTCTTGTGTATGCCGGCAGCAGAATATGGCCAAGAGCTCAATACCAATGTCGAGGTCTGATAGCCACGAGAGGGCTTCAGCAGAGAGAGAGAGAGAGTTCGTGTCGTTTAGCTCTTCCTGCTCTTCCTCCTCTTCCGTTAGAGTGCAGACCGCAGTGGTTTACTGTGGTCTGGTCGATAGTTAAGGTTGCATGGCCATAAAATCACGACTGTGGCTTTTCTTTAATGCATATCTTTGTGTCTCTGGGGATTTGTTTCATGAGTCTCTACGTATCTCCATGGGTATCTGTGTATCTCTAGGGGTGACTATGAATCTCTATGAGCATCTGTGGGTTTACTATATGGCCCATAGCTTGGGCTGCATGGCCACAGTTACACCGTGACTTGTCTTTAATGTTCCATTCTTGAAGGATGTGTGCGCATTTGCCTGCTCATGTGTTAATGCGATTAATGGTTACACCGGCGTCTTCGAGAAGGAGGAGGAATGTCAAAGCCAGGAGGTGCAATTTTTGGGTCTGAGGTTTTTTTTTTCTGGACGTCCGCGTTGTTCCACTCTGATCGCCTCTGTTCCCACCAGCGTCCTTGTTGTTTGTGCAACGCTACCAACGCAGCAGCAGCATCACCACCAGATAATTTGAGTCACAACAGCGGTATCAACAACCCGTGGGCGCTCTCTCCCGCTCCCTCTATGACTCTTCCAAGCCCCACCCAGAACAGCGTTAACTCTCTCCGGCTCCTCCAGCCACAGTCTCACCACCACGCACCATCTCCCTTTGCTACTCCACCTCCACCCGGCTCCACCCGCGTCCCCCCTTCACTCCTCCACCCCCCACCGCTCACTGCCACTGACCGGACACCGGTAATGGGTGTTTGTGGGTGTTGTTGTGGATGTTGCTGTGGTTACTGTTGAGGCTGCTGCGGTTGTAGTTGAGTTGAAGTTCAAGCGCACGTGTGTTTTTTATGGTGGGGTGTCAACGTCTGCGGTACACACAGAGACAAGGACCCCCCGTATAGCCTTAACAGATCGTAGGGGCAAGTGTTGTTTAGCGAGCATCTTTGAAGGCTGGCACGGCACACGAGGGGGTGGGTAGCCAACACCACGCCCGACTACATACAATCATACACGCTTACACACGCATACTCCCACACATTCCCCATACCCAGACACACACATACTCATTCATAAAACACACACATACCAAAATACACACGTTCATAAAACATACACAACATTCCCACGTATAGCCTACATATCCTGTTTTGGGAAAGTGCTGTTAGCGAGCACCTATAAGGGCCAGTACGGTGCACGAGGGTGTGGGTGGCCAGCACCATGCCCGGCCGCCTTTGTCTCCCCAGTGCTGCTATTTACACACCGCACCAGGTACTCCTTTGGAGGTGAATTGACCTTTAGGTAAGGCCCGGATCGGTTTCACGTACTCGCCACTGTTATTGTCCGTTAGTGGGAACCGAATTCGGGTCGCCGGGTTCGCCGCGCAGTGCACCAAACCACCGCGCCACCGCTCCCCCACACGAGCACACGCGCACCCTGACGGAGACGCGCCCCCCATCCACCTCCGTGACCGCGGGGCGCTCTCCCCGCCCGTTGCTTTGATCCCCGCTTCCGAGGCGGATGGCCGAATCGAAGCCAATCGCTAAATCGGCTCAAATTGTTGCCAATTGGACCCGATTTAGCGCGGTGCATCCGCGTAGGGGCGCGAACCGTGGGGTTTTGCGGGCTCAGGGGCCCGTGGCCACGCCGCCACCCCCCTCACCAGGTGGCTGACTGACCTCTCACCTGATCGCTCACCTGGTGAGGCCCTCCTCGTCTCGGTGACGTAGCGGGCTTGGCATGGGCTCTGCTGTAATGAATGAAATGAGACCCCCAACACAACCCCCGTTTTATTTACACCGCGCTCGCCTGGCTCCCGCCCCCCCTCCCCTGGTCCACGTGGATCCGATATCGAGTGTGCAGTTGTACCGCCTGCACACTCGATATCTATGGCACTACAGTAGCAGCAGCAGGTAGATCGAGCATGCAGCTGTGTAGAGACAGCATACCGAAGAACGCCGTGTACAAGTGCAGTACAGCCCTGAGCAATCCACTGCTGGATGGGGGCCTACCCCACGCCGTGTGGGTCTAGTGAGTTACTTGACCATACTTCGCCACACCTGGTTAGCGGGGGTCGGTGAAGGTGGGTGAGCACAGAGCTACTGTGTATTGTAACAATGGATATTGCTCCATCCTGCAGCCCAGGCTCAAAACGCCTGCTGAGCTTCCTGCGTCTGACGAGATGGGGGGCATTCCGGGTGATTTTCTCACAGTGTGCACAGACGTGGGTGGGCTATTAGTACTATTGTAGTAGTCACTTCAGAGACACTAATAGTAGGAGGCACACACGTTTATTCTACACTTCCACAGTACAGGGGATAACTGCACACGGGTCAAGACAGCTGGCACACTGCCTGCCCCACAACGCCAAGGAGACGAAGACGGCGACGAAGACGGGTTCCATTCCAAATGACAGCCTCGACCCATTGTCAGGGCCTTTCCTTTTATCCTCCCCAGCATGGCCTGGCTCCGCCCTCGGCCACGCCTCCTTCTGGAACCTACCAGAAGGTTCTGGGCTTCGCCCCACGTGTCCCCTCTGTCACCTTTACCCCACATCCCTTACCCTCGCCTATCACGTGCCCTGCTGGCTGACCGGCTGCTGTGTCCTCAGATCCCCCCTATCTGCCAGCAACCGGCGCTACGCGCTCCAGTGGCACACTTCACTTGCCCTGCTGGTAGACCGGGCTACTACACCCACAATCCCGCTCTCTACCAGTAACCAGCGATACGCGCCCTAGTAACCCATTCTATGTCACTACACTATGATGGGTGGGAGCTTCCGCACATTCCTATTCACAGGGGGAGGGGTCGGGGGGTTCTTGATTTACGCGACCGGGACCCAGACTCGTGATGGTGATGTATGGAGGATGAGGATAACGCTGATTTAGACGACAAATGAACAGGTCCCTGCAGGGTGGGCTGGTAGGACAAGTCTCTGCGCTGTCTATTGCTGATTTTACACCCAACAGCACGAGATTTCACTTCGTTAAAGTATTGAAAGGGGACGGACGGACAGACACATTAATCTATTGCAGGCTGGTACACTCAGTTTACAACTTCATTCCTACCAGTATTAACACATGATAACGGTACAGCTGCGAACTGATGCATGGCCATTGGACTCATGGCCCGTGATTATGAGTGCGTTATTAGCTGGTGAGCATTACACTACTTATTGGCGCATGACTCTGTGACTCGTGGGCAACGATGATTTGATTAATCGATGACGGAACCCTTGGCATACGATGATGGTGATGCTGCTGCTATGAACTGACACTGATTGGCCGTGTTACTTCTCCCCCCACCACCCCTCCCCACAGTGGTTTGCCCCATTCCCTGTCGCAACGGAGGCACGTGCTCTGCGGGGGGGCGCTGTAAGTGCCCCTCGGAGTTCACGGGAAAATTCTGCCAGATCCCGGTGTCTCCTGGAGCCCCATCTGAGGGGGACCATCAGAGGCCTTCCAGCCAGGGAGCCCTGAGAGGTAATGCGCTTTACCTGACCCGTGCTCCACCTGACCCGTGCTCCACCTGACCCGTGCTCCACCTGACCCGTGCTCCACCTGACCTGTGCTCGATCCGACCCGCGCTCCATTTGACCCACACTCAACCCTACCCGTGCTCCAACTGACCGACACTCCACCTGACACACATTATACCTGACTCGTGCTCTATACGACCCGTGCTCCACTCGACCCACGCTCCACCTGACCCACGCTCCACCTGACCCACGCTCCACCTGACCCACGCTTCACCTTACCCACGCTCCACCTGACCCACGCTCCACCTGACCCGCGCTCCACCTGACCCGTGCTCCACCTGACCCGTGCTCCACCTGACCCACGCTCCACCTGACCCACGCTCCACCTGACCCACGCTCCACCTGACCCACGCTCCACCTGTGTGTGTCTCACAGTGGTGCTCCACCCGAGCGAAGCGGTGAGTATGGACACTCGCGAATCACGGCCTCGCTACCACATCCTGCCTGTGGTGCAACAGTATCAGCCACACCAGCAGCAGCAGCAGTATCACCATCAGCAGCACCAGCATCATCATCAACAGCAGCAGTATCACCATCATCAGCAGCGGCCCCAGTCCGTGCCCATGGTGCCGGGAGCAAGGCTGATTGGACGCGTGAGCATGAACCGGGTGAGCGGACTCCATGGGATTCCGCGTCACGGGGCCCAGCAGCAAGGGTCCCTCGGTCGATGCTTCCAGGACGTGGGGGCCAAGGTGAGGAAGGGGCAAGGCGTGTGGGGGGGCGGGGGCATGCTTCGTCGGTTTTCTCCGTTTTTACCGGAGTAATCCAGGCACCAAACTCTCATTGATGGACTACTCTCCAATAAGTACCGTGCCGCGGATCGCACGAGGTCCAGAGTATTGGACATCGTGCCGAACAACGCGCGGCACATCAGAGAGTTGGATTCCCAACCGGGACCAACATCAGTGGTTAAACAACACCCCCATGGCCGACACGGCGTACAAGTATTGTTGAGACGCTTAAGAAAGTGAAATTCCATATTTGGCAATTGCGTCCAGACATTCAGATGGCAACAAGTCATCCTGCTCCCTGGTCCCTCCTCCATCTTGGCATCCTCCCTCAACACGACAATTCCAGATCAGATACGAGCCCGAGTCCACGGAGTCCCCCATATACTCCACTGCCCACCGTGTCCAACACGCAGACGGCCCGGCCCTGGCACCGCTCACATTTCCATTCGTTCATCCCGAAGGCACTTTTGGCCTACGTGGCGAACACATTTTCGTGAGCGATGGCGTTGTGTGCACCGGATGCCGTATCCCCCCTCACACCCCCCCCCCACCCCCCACGGTGACGCACGCGACCCTGCTGAGGACCCTCTGCCCAGATGTAATCCTGGCCACGGCTCTACGTTGGCGTGGGTGCCTGGAAGGGAACACGGAGAACAGCGTTGAGAATCTGCCAGTTGTTCACGTCACTTCCATGCGATGGACTGACGGAAGGCGAGAATCGTGTATCGTGAGCAGCCGTGATCAATCCACTGCTGGATGAAGGCCTCCTCAATCTGTCGCTATCGATGTGACAATTCGTCTGGCACCTGCAAACAAGACTCTCTCTTTGCTCCGTGTAAAAGACAATGCATAAACAGCCAGAGCAGTGGACATCGGTGGCGACGCTAATAGGTGCTCGCGAACGGCGGCTGCTCCATCGCCCCGTGCGGCCCAACGCAGCGCCTGCAGTGCCACGCGGCCCTCACGTGGCCCTCGCGTGGCCCTCGCGCGGCCCTCACGCGGCCCTCACGCGGCTCTCGTGCGGCCCTCGCGCGGCCCTCACGTGGCCTCGCTCCCCACGCGCAGCCCCTGCGTGCCGGGAACTGAGCGCTGGGTGCCGGGTGTGGGAGCCGGGTGCTGGGAACCCTGCTGCGTGTGTTCTCACACCTCGTAAATCCCGTTATTTAACCTTCCCCTCCGGAATCTCCCTACCCCCTTCCCCACCTCGTCTTCCGCCTCCCCCGCTGTTTAAGTTTCCGCGGAAATAATTCGCGAAGAATGAGGACGCGAGGACATTTCTCAAACGCATCCCCCGGACGAGAGGGACTGGACCCTGGGTGCCTCCCTCCCCAGCCCCCCTCATTCCCTCCTCCTCTTCACACATAAACCTCCCTCCCCCTACATCCCTCCTCCGTCTCGACTCCTCCCAAACCTCCCATTAAATCTGCCTGTTTTCCCTTCCATTTCTCAGCATCCCCTCTCCCCCACCCCAACATAATCTTTCCCCTTCTCCCCTGCTCGTGACCAAGGACACTGAGCCAGAACTCGGCCCCAGAGCTGCTTAGGGAGCATGTGAATCCGTGTCCTGGCCGGGTGGGGACCCCTGATGATCCCAAGGGGTTCACAGCCCTGCGCCCCACACCCCGTGAGAGCCCCTGCGAGACCCCTGCTCCTGCCTGTGAGAGGCGAGAGACGTTGCATTACCTCCAGGGACCCCTGGACGGACGACGAGGGGGTCGCGGGGGTGCTGAGGATGTAGTGCCGAGGGGGTTATTGGGGGCTGGTGGGCAGGGCACGGTGATGGAGGAGGGGGGGAGGGACCTGGAGACGGGGCTCGCTCCTCGGGCGTGAGATTTGCCAGTCGCGCGGTGATTGCGCGAGAGGGGCCATTGTGAACCTTAATCTGTGTTTGTGCAGCCGCGACGGCGAGACGCCCCCCGTCCAACCAGCCCATGAGCCCCCCCCCCGCCATCACCTCCACCCCACGCGGCGCTTCCGCTGTGCGTGTAACGCAGTGATCGCACTGATTTGCTCACCTCTCGCGCTCCACTTAATCTCATCCGGGGGGTCGCGACGCCTTCCTAAATCCTAATGCCCCCCCCCCGCTGCCAATCCCCACGTGTTCACTAAGAATGTAACATAAAGCCCCCCCCCCCCACCGTTATAACGGACCATGAGAGATGGTGGCAGCTTGGGGAGGCCTTCATCCATCAGGGCCCCCCTTGAATTGGGGGGGAGGGGTTTCCAGAGGAATCAGAAGAGAAGCGGCGGGGGGGGGTGGATTTGGGGTGTTTGGAGGGTTAGAGGAGTGGTGTTGGTGGGCGCCCGGGGGGGGGGCGCGGGGGAGGGCAGGTTGGCCCCCCCACAGCGTCGTTAATCTCAGTCCCTTCCCGCAGTGCACGGAGCCCCTGCCCGGGCTGAGCCGGCAGGAGGATTGCTGCGCGACCCTGGGCACCGCGTGGGGGATCAGCATGTGCTCCAAGTGCCCCCCAATACCAGGTGAGCAGCCCTCTCCCCACCCTACCCCACCACGGTGTTATCCCTTCCCACCTCGCCCCGCCCCCCCACCCCCACTCCAGTCCATGCTGTTATTGTCTCAATCCTGATCCTTGGAGCCACAATCTGAACATGGCCCCCCTCCCTCAAACGCCGCCACCATCTCACTCCCCTCCTCCCCACGACGAATATCTAGCAATCCCACCTCGCTCCTCCCCAACCACCACCACCACCACCACGGCCATCGCATCTTGCCCCCTCCCTTCCGCGTTCCTTCTCGTCATTCCACCCCCACCCCCCCCACATTATAATCCCAGCCAGACCCCCTCCAACCCCACCCCCCCGTGCACCTCGCCATACTCTCCCACCACCCCATACACAACCCTTCGACTCCTTATCCCGTTCCCATCCGGGTAGCCTTAGCCCAGATGCCGAGATGTTATCTCCCTCGCCTGGTATGCAGGAGGTCGTGGGTTCGATCCCGACCCCGACGCCTGTTGTATATTTGGAGTTGCATGTTCTCTCTCCCCATGGTCGCGTGGATTATTATCCAGGTTCTCCGGGTTTTCCCTCCACATTTAGAATCAACATCACGTGTTTTGTCGTATTTTGCTGCCGCTATAAATTTCCACGCGATAAGCCACTTCGTTGGGCTATCATTTGTGGGCCCGGTCGCTCCTTAAAAAGAGCCATAAAGCTCGGTGGGCTTTACCTGGTAAAATAGAAAATAGTTTATAGTTTTTGTTGTTTTACTCCAGGGAAGAACGGGGTGGTGGGGTTGGGGGGGGGGGTTGGCAGAGGAGAGGGGTGGGGTGGGGAGATGACAGCCCCCGGTGCTATGAACGAGAGCAGGCGCTCGTTACCGCAATCACGCGACAAGTGGAGCGGCCGTGTAACCCAAGCGGCGGCTCGGAGGCAGCGTCAGCCCTGGGGGCTCGAAGGGGCGGGCGGTGGTCGGTGGGGGGGGGTTCCATGAATGGGGTTCACGCGACCTGAGAGGGGGGGGGGGCCCTGTGCGTGAGCGCAGCGCGGACTCTCCATGGGATTACACTTATTCACTCCTGGCGATTCGATTTCACGGTAACGATTCGTTTAATTAACCTGCTATTTAGCCATGGTGGTGCACGTGGACATTTGCGCCTTCTGGAAGGGTTCCATGAGCCAATCACGGGCTGCTGTCTCCGGGCCACCACCTCGCAGTCCAGCGAGGTTATTTTTTGGCGGGGGGGGGAAGGGGTCACATCTCCCGTGGACAGTGCCGGATTATCCTCGTAGCAAAAGTAGCTACACATGTAGTAGCTACTACATGTGTAGCTACTACACGTGTAGTAGCTACACATGTAGTAGCTACATATGTAGTAGCTACGGGCCCCGCACTTTTAAGTGCCCCGAGATAAATGCTTTCAAGCTATCAATTCCGGTTCAGTGATTATGTACTTGCTCTATTACTATAGTTATATACTGCCTTCAACTTTTATGAACGACTGGGTGTTTCAGGTTAGCGATTTGTCGTATTATCTGGCTATATAGCAAATGAAAAAATATAATTACTTTACTATGCAAGTTTACAATTTGTGTTTTAATATTTGTTTTTTTTAGGGCCTCTGTTATAACAACAAATGCTACAGGCCCCGCACGCGCTTCATCCGGCACTGCCCGTGCCCCCCTCTCCTCCTCCTCTTCCAAACAGAGACCCCCCGCAGCGGCCCCGCCCCCGCGCCCGGACAGGGCCCTGCGCCAAGCCCCGCCCGCACCCGCGCGCAGCTGAGCTGTCCCAGGGGATTCAAGCTGGACACGCAGGGGAAGTGCCGAGGTGAGGGTGCGTGTCTGTGTGTGTGTGTCTCTGGCGGGGTGTGTGTGTCTCTGACGGGGTGTGTGTACACGTGTGTGTGGGGAGCGGTAGCGTACGAACCCGGGGACCCGAATTTGATTCCCGCTCATGGTCAACACCGGTGAATATCTTAACCGGTCCTAAGCCGCTCCTCCAGATCGCCTTAGCCTCAAATGAGAGAACCTGGTACGACGTGTAAACCTCGCCACTGGAGAGACAAAGGCGGCCGGGCACGGTGCTGGCCACCCACCCCCTCGTGTGCCGTGCCGGCCTTCAGAGGCGATCACTCATGGCACTCGCAGCGCATGGAGAAACCAACTTATACGAGGAGGGGACAATGCTCCAGAGCAGCACCGCCACCTCCCTGCCTGCTCGGCTGATGTCCGCGTGACTCCACAACCCTCTGCTTCCCTCCCCCCGCCCTCACACTGCCTCCCCCCCCCCCCCCCCCTCGTGGCCGTGTGTTCAGACGTGAACGAGTGCCAGGCGGCGGGCCTCTGCCCACACGCGCACTGCTCCAACACGCAGGGCAGCTACCGGTGCGAGTGCGAGCCCGGGTACCGGGCCGACTCCTCGCGCACCAGTTGCCTGCGTGAGCTGCACGACTTCATCAGCTCACCAGCTCACCCCTCCATCCCTCCCTCCACTAAACCTGCACTCAACTCTCCCTCCCCCACTCACCTCGTCAACTCCCACTCCCTCGCTGCCTAAGCCTTCAGACTCCTTCCTCTCACTCCCCCCACATTGCCCGCCTCCACCCGCACTCCCTCACCACATCCATTTCCATTTCATAGTTCCATTTATTTGGTATAGCCCTGTGAGCCATTCGGCTCTTGAATCGGGTGCAACCGTAACAAACAAAAAACATGAACAAGAAAACATTTTAAAGTGACTTTGCAAACAGAAAATCCAGGAAAAAAAACATCAAAATATTCCTGAAATAGCACCGTACACCACATCTCCCCCGTTACTTTCACTTCCTCCAACCCGACCACCCCTCCCCCCCAGCCTCCCAATCCCCTTGCTCCTTCAACCTCACTGCTGCACCCGTCTCAATCTCAATCGCCCCTTTCTCCCATGCTCACTTCGCGTCTCTCCCTACCCAACTGCACTCCCCCACCCCCCTCATATGTTCGTATGTGTGTGTGCGTGTCTGTGAGTGTGTGTATGTGTCTGTGTGTGTAGCAGTTAGCGCGCTGCACTATGAACCCGGCGACCCGAGTTCCATTCCCACTCACGGAACAACACCAGTGACGATTATCTGAACTGGTCCTGGGCCTCTCCCCTTGATCGATTTACCTATAAATGAGTACCTGGTGCGGTGTGTAAACATCAGCACTGGGGAGACTAAGGCGGCCGGGCGTTGTGCTGGTCACACCACCTCATCGTGCGCCGCGCAGGCCTCCATGGGCGCTTACTATCGGCCCTTGGCCCAGCAGTCTGTTGAGGCTATACGGGGGGTGGGGAACCTTTGCCTTTGTGTGGGCAGAGGTGGCAGAGCAGAGGGGCAGCTGCTACCGTGCAGTGACGGCGGGCCGCTGCGTGGGGCTGCTCGCGCTGCCCATCCCGCGCCACATCTGCTGCTGCACCATCGGCCAGGCGTGGGGGCCCTCGTGCGAACGCTGCCCCCCACCCGGCACAGGTGAGCTCATTTTGCGCCCCTCAATTCCCCACTCGCCTTGCCCTGCCCCTCCCCAATCACCCACTCAACCTGCCCTGCCCTCTCCCTCCCCAATCCCCCACTCAACCTGTATGACCCCACTAAATCCCCCAAGTATCTTGTCGTTTAACCTCCCGTCGTCCCCGTGGTATCCCTACGTTGACTCCTCCTTTGACCTCGCGCATGCTTGGGTTGACCCCCGGATTGATTTACTGCAACCATAATGCTACCCCTGCTTTGACCTTTTGTACCCCTGCTTTGACCCCCAAATTAAACTCTGGTGTCCCTGGCTTAACCCCCTGCGTGGAACCCTTGTATCTAACTGCCGCGACCCCGCTTTCTCCCTGCAGCCGCCTTCAAGCAGATCTGCCCGGCCGGAACGGGGTATTACTTCCCCGTGACGGGCGTGCGGATGCGGCCGGAGACCCCTGCCCGGCCCCCCGTGGCCCCCGTGGCCCCCCGTGGCCCCCGTGGCCCCTGCCGCTGTTCCCCGCGTCCCTGTCAGGGAGCCGCCCCCCTCTGTGCGCCTCTCGCCTATCGTCACTCCGCCACCGGTAAGCAGGGAGGGGGGGATCGCAATCAGGGCTCGACTCGCCCCATCATTCTGCTAGGGTCAATAGAACTGGTACCACACTCTGTGGGAACGCAGCAGTCACTGCCCCATGTCAACACTCATCACCGTCATAGGAATGTGGAATTTCCACCGCTGCCTCGAGGCAGTGAGAGGCGCGGCTCCGTCGTGTGAGCCGGACCCTACGTGGACTCGAGCCATGGGGGATGCGCGGCGTGGTGGGGTGAAGGGCACATCCACGCTTGGTTAACACCTCTCCTCCTCCGCTCCGCAGCGACAGGGCGGTGACGGCAGCAGGGCCGAGGAGATGGACGGCCACAGCCCAGGTAAGGGCGGCTACGCCACCTGTACGCCTGCGTGTCCACCCCACGCCTGCGTGTCCACCACACGCCTGCGTGTCCACCACATGCCTGTGTGTGCATATCCCGATGTCTACCTCTAACACTGTCTATCTGTCTGCCTGTCAGTGCCCTTCTCTGCCTGTTCCTCCGTTTGTCCACCATTCTGGCTATCCTACCGTCCATCTATCAGTCTGCCTGTCTGTGTGTCCGTGTGTGCAATCGTCCTTTCTGTTCGTCCCTCTATCTATCAGTGCATCTGTCCGCTTGTCCGTCAGTGTGTACGTCTGCCTCGTGTTCACCCTTCTCTCTGTCTGCTACGTGTATGTTTGAGTGCGCGTGTCTGTCCTTGGGGAACGGTAGCGCAGTGGTTAGCACCCTGTGCTATAAACTCGGTGACCCGAGTTTGATTCCCGCTCACAACCAACATCCGTGTCGAAGTGAACGGGTCCTGAGCCTCCCCTACGTCTATTCAGCCTTAAATGAGTAGCTTGTGCTGTGTGTAAACATCAGCATTGGGAAGAAAAATGCGGTTCGGGAGTGGTGCTGGCTACCCCACCCTTTTGGGTTCCGTGCCAGCCTTCATAGGTGCTCGCTTACAGTACTTGCCCCAACAGACTGTTAAAGGCTACACGGGGGACCTTTTCCTTTGTCCGCATGGCCGCAGTGCTCGCGGTGCGCCCGCTACCGCCCACGCCGGTGGTGGCCGTGGAGCCGGAGGTCGTGACGGCAGCGGCGCAGGTCATCGGGGTCACGCAGGTCACAGGTGGCGCATGCAGCGACACGCACACACACACACGCACGCACGGACAGACACACACACGCATGAATGTGCGCACGTGCGACGTCTCACTCGGCCAGGTAGATCACCTTGACCCCCCCCCCCCCCCGCCCATGGCACCCCCTCCGTAGACGTGGACGTGTGTGCGGTGAGCCCCGGGGTGTGCGGGGAGGGGCGCTGCGTGCGTTGGCCTGGAGGCCACACGTGCCAGTGCCACGCGGGCCACCAGCTCAATGCGCGCACGGGCACCTGCACAGGTGAGACTCACCTGGGCACACTCACCTGGATGCACCTGCAACACACACAAACCCTGGTGGTGGTGATGACGATTATCATGGTGGTGGTGATTATGATCATGATGGTGGTAATGATGATGAAGTTGGTGATGATGATGGCGGCGATGATGATGACGATGATCATGGTGGTGGTGATTATGATCATGGTGGTGGTGATTATGATCATGATGATGGTGATGATGGTGATCATGGTGGTGGTGGTCGACGCGTCTGTGTAGATGTGGACGAGTGCTCGCTGGAGCCGAGGCCGTGTCAGGGCGGTCGCTGCGTCAATTCCCCGGGCAGCTTCGTGTGTCACTGCCGCCCCGGGTTCACTCTGGACGCTACCACTTGTCGTGGTGAGCGTGACACTCGCACCGGGGTCACGGTGACCTTTGCACCAGGGTCACTCTGACACTCACACTGGGGTCATGGTGATGCTCCCACCGGGGTGACGGTGACAACCGCATCGGGGTCACTGTAACACTCGCACTGGGTAACGGTGACACCGACACCGGGCTCACCGTGGCATCACCGGTGATGGTGAACATCGCCACACTGATGTCACTGCTGTATTTCCCGTCACCGTCGTCGCCCCGCCGGGAGAGTGCAGACGTGGACGAGTGCGAGTCGTCCCCGTGCGGGCCGGGCGGTCGCTGCGTGAACTCGGAGGGCTCCTTCTCGTGCCGCTGCCTCCCCGGCTTCACGGCCCCCCCCGGCGGCGGCGCCCGCAGCATGACGTGCGAAGGTGCAGGCCCCCCTCTCCCACGTAGCCCCCCCTCTCCCACGTAGCCCCCCCTCTCCCACGTAGGCCCCCCTCTCCCACGCAGGCCCCCCTCCCCCTGCAGGCCACCCTCCCCCCACAGGCCCCCCTGATCGTCAACCAGCTGACAAGTTGATGGATTGACCGGTTATTGATTGGCTCATAAAGGATCGACTCGTAATAAATAGGCTGGTAATCGCGTGATGCCATTTGCCGTGCATCAATCAGATTACGATCGGCCGATTGTCCATTGTAGCGCAGACTGAACGGCCTGAGCATTGTTTGGCTGATGATCTATGGACTCACCCTCGAGTCCGAGCCTTCGAATGCCCTGGATCTTAGGGCCCCATCCCTTCCGTCCAGGGTCCCCCACTCCCCACTGTCTACCCGCCCTCCACCCCGCCCGTGTTTACCGTGTGCGAGGATTCGCTTGGTGACCCCCCGTTTCCGCCCGGAGCCGGCCTCGCCCGTCGCCACGCACGGGAAGCGGTGATTTACAAGCGGCGTCTGGGAGAGGGAGCAGGCAGGGGGGACCGCGGGGGGGAGTGGGGGGGGGCGGGGGTTGGAGGGTGGGGGAAGAGAGAGTTGGGGAGAAGGGGAAGAGAGTGGGGGGCAGAGAGCACAAGTCTCAGAGCAGGGACCAACCACAGTCCTCGGTTTTCACAGACCGCCTCGCTCCCTCACTCACAGGCGCAAACTCATACAGTCGCTCACTCACAGTCGCTCACTCGCCCAATTATCCGCTCGTCCACTCACCCCTCAACTATTCACCCATTCACAGACTCGTCCTCTTATTTGCTCGTTCACCCGACCACGCAGCCCCTCACCCCATTGAATTTGTGGCTCACTCGTCAATGGGTTGACCAACTGATTGGCTAACTGATTGATTGGCTGACTGCTTGATTGATTTACTGATTAGTTGGTTGCCTGGTTGTTTGACTGGTTAATGGGCTGAATTATTGGTTGATTGGCTGCTTAGCTGGCTGTTGAATTACTTGGCTGGTTGCCTGGCTGATTGTCCGGCTGGTCGCCTGGCTGGCTGCGTGGCTGTATGGCTAACGAGCGGCGCTCTGTGTAGACGTGGACGAGTGCCTGAGGCCCGGACTCTGCCGCGGCGGCCGCTGCGTGAACCTCCCCGGCTCCCACCGCTGCGAGTTCTGCGACCCGGGATTCCAGATGAACACGGAGTGGGAGTGCGAGGGTGAGGGTGGGGATGAGGGATATGGTGTGGGTGAGAGTGGGTGTGAGGGTGAGGTTTGGGGGTGAGCCCTGGGTGGTGTGGGCGCGAATGGGTGTGAAGGTGAGGGTGGTTAAATCTTGACTTAAAGCTTTCGTGACTGCAGGAATTCATATTCTTTGGGTCTTTTGGTAAAGTCACGTAGATAGGTTCAAATAACAAAACACGACGACGTTTCGATCGCAACACAAGCGGTCGTGATGACGACTGCATGTGTTGCGATCGAAACGTCGCAGTGTATTGTTAATTTGTTATTTTCTCTGAACCTATCTACATGACTTTACCGAAAGACCCAAAGAATGTGAGGGTGGTTGTGTGGGTGGGGGTGAGTTAGGGTGGGGATGAGGGTGAGGATTGGGGTGAGGGTGAGGGTTAGGGTGAGGGTTGGGGGTGAGTCCTGGGTCGTGTGAACGGGGGTGAAGTTCGTGGTGGTGGTGGTGGCGGTGTCGGCGGTGGTAATTGGGGATGTTGTGCCATGAGCGGTGGTGGCGATGGATTCGTCGTTGAGGCGGTGCCCGTGCGTTGACCCCTTGACCCCGCTAGACGTGGACGAGTGTCAGGACGTGAGCGTGTGCCCGGACGCTCGCTGCCTCAACACGCACGGGGCCTACGAGTGCGCGGCGTGTGGCCAGGGATACCGCGCCCAGCTCGGGTCCTGCACCGGTAACTACAGCCACTCCGATGACAGGCGCAGTCCGTCACCGTGACAACAAAAGCACAGTCCGTCGCTGTGACAACACCCCCTGATACTTCGGAATGTTGTTGTTGTCGTTGTTGTCGTTGATGTTGTGGTTTTTGTTGCTTGTTGTTATTTGATTGCTGTTGTCGTGTGGTTGTTGTTCTGTTGAAGTAGTGATTATGGTTTGTGGTTGTTGTGGCTGTGGTTGTTGTGGCTGTGGTTGTGGTTGTGGTCGTTGACACCGCGGTTGCGGCTGTGGCTGTAGACGAGGACGAGTGTGCGGTTGGCCGTGTGTGTGGTGACGCGGGATTCTGCACCAACACGGACGGTTCCTTCTCCTGCACCGCGTGCCTCGCCGGCTTCCAGGCCGACGCCAGCGGCACCGCCTGCCAGGGTGCGTGCACCACCAGCAGCACCATCAGCAACAGCGTCGTCATCCTAGTGACTATTGTTTTAGCGTGTGTGTGAGTGTGTGTGCGTATGTGTTGGGGAGCGGTAGTGCAGTGGTTAGCGCTACACTGCGCCACGAACCTAGCGACCCGGGTTCGATTCCCGCTCACGGCCAACACCAGTGACGATCATCTGAGCTGTTCCTGGGCCTCCCCTAGGTCGACTCAGCCTCAAATTAGTACTTGGTGCGGTGTGTAGTTAACATCGCCACTGGGGAGACAAAGGCGGCCGGGCGTGGTGTTGGCCACCCACGCCCTCGTGTGCCGTGGCCACCCACACCCTCGTGTGCTCGGTAACAACACTTGCCCCAAACAATCTGTTCAGACTATACGGGAGATCTTTGTCTTCACACTTCACGTGGCCTCAGAGTGCACCTGGCCTGGCACAAGCGCCGTGGCGAGGTCACCGCCAATTAGTGGCGAATGGCGGCTACTGTTGTTGCTGTTGTTGGTAATTGATAGACGTGCGTGCTCCTGCGTGCAGGGCAGAGGTTAGCACGCTGCGCTCTGAACCTGGCCACCCGAGTTCAAGTCCCGCTCACGGCCAATATCGGTGATGAATATCTGAACCGGTCTTGGGACTCTCCGAGGTCGACTCAGCCACAAATGAGCACCAGGTGCAATGTACAAACATCGCCACTGGGGAGACAAATGCGGCTGGGCGTGGTGCCGGCCACCCACCCCCTCGTGTGCCCTGCCGGCCTTCATAGGCGCTACTCGCTGACAGCCCTTACCCCAACAGCCTGTTAAAGGCTACACGGGGGGCCTTTGTCTGTGCGCGAGTATAGATGTGGACGAGTGTGTGGGCGAGGACGTGTGTGACGGCGGCACCTGTGTCAACGTCCCCGGCTCCTTCTCGTGCCGTTGCCTCCCCGGCTTCCAGCCTTCGGCACCCGGCGACGCGTGTCACGGTGAGGCCCCTCTCCCTCCTCCGTGTGTGTGGCCATGTGTGGCTGAGTGTATCGGTGTGTGTGTGTGTCGGTGTGGCTGAATGTATCTCTGTGTGTCGGTGTGGCTGAGTGTATCTCTGTGTGGCTGTGTGTATCTGTGTGTGTGTGGCCGTGTGTGGCTAAGTGTATCGGTGTGTGTGTGTCGGTGTGCCTGAGTGTATCTCTGTGTGTCGGTGTGGCTGAGTGTATCTCTGTGTGTCGGTGTGGCTGAGTGTGTGTCGGTGTGGCTGTGTGTATCTGTGTGTGTCGGTGTGGCTGAGTATATCTCTGTGTGTCGGTGTGGCTGTGTGTATCTGTGTGTGTGTGTCGGTGTGGCTGTGTGTATCTGTGTGTGCGTGTGTGTGTCGGCGTGGCCGTATCTCCCTCGGTGTGGGCGCCGGTGCAGACGTGGACGAGTGCGAGATGGCGCCGTGCGGGCCGTTCGGGACGTGCGCCAACAGCGCCGGCTCCTTCAGCTGCAGCTGCGGTGACGGCTTCATCCTGGGGCCCGATGGCAGCTGCCACGGTGAGGCCCGCGTGGCCCTGGGGGGAGGAGGAGCGGAGGGGTTGGGGGGGGGGGGGTGGCACGCAACCCGCGCGCCCTCAAAGGGTTACGCGACCTTACAGGGTCGGCGTCGTCGCAGTCGGCCACGATCAATCCGCTGCTGGATGAAACCCTTGCCACGCCGCCACTATCTCTCACGTCCTGTGATGTAACGATCCGCGTGGCTCCTGCCAACGGGTCGATTTCATCGCTCCGTCTCCGTGACGCGCATCCCCTCAGCCGACTCTCTCGTTATTCTCGACCTCTGGCCATCTCCCTTAAATAGGTCACGTGGCCCGCGTGGTCAACCTCGTAGAGGTCACAAGGTCGGCCCCGCTGCCCCTGCCAGGAACACGTGCATGGAATTGGGACATACGTGGCATGGTGGTGGTGACGCGGCGGCGGTGATGGTGGCGGTGGCCGTGGTGCTGTGGTTGTTGTCTGGTGGCGGTGGCCGTGGTGTTGAGGTGCACGGTGTGCGGTGTGCGTGGTTGAGACGTGGACGAGTGTGAGGACGCGGAGCCGTGCGAGGGTGGACGCTGCCTCAACACGGAGGGCTCCTTCTCCTGCGAGTGCCAGGCCGGCTTCCGCACCGGCGCCCGGCCCAACACCTGTGTGGGTACGCGACACTGCATCACGCGGCACCGCACCACGCAGCACCGCACCAAACCACACCGAACCGGACTGTGCCGCACATCGGCACACCCCTGCACTGCACCGCCACGTGAGCGCGTGTGAATGAACGAGCTAGCGAGCGAGCAAGTTTGTGAGCCAGTGAGCGAGTGAGTGTGCATCTCCGTCAGACCTGGACGAGTGTGTGGAGTACGGGGAGGCGGCGTGCGGGTCCTGGCAGTGCGAGAACACGCCCGGCTCCTACCGCTGCATGCAGGACTGTCCGCCCGGATTCACGCGGGATGGCGCCAGCAGCTGTGAGGGTGAGGACCCGCCTCGCCCGTGCAGGCTCACCCGCCAACTCGCTCACCCGCCGGCTCGCTCACCCACCGGCTCGCTCACTCACCAAATCGCTCGCTCACTCCCACACTCGGTCAATCGTTTACTCGCTCGCTCATTTGCTCACTCACTCGCCCACCCACTTGCTCACCTCCTCGCCTACCCACTCGCCCACCAACTCCCGCGTCACTCTATCGGGGTTACGCGAGGGCCCCCGAGTGATTTGCGTGTAATTGCGAGTACGAGACGCTTGGCCTGCCGAGAGCGATCGGTGCAATTCCCAACTCTGTCCGTGCCAACATTTTTCTGTGTCTACCCCCTCCACTCTGGCCATCATTATCCTCCCCCCCCCCCCACCGCCCCCCCCCCCCCGACCCCTAGACATTGACGAATGCCGCGGGAACGCGTCTGCATGCGGGAGCCACGGAGCGTGCGAGAACAGCGCCGGATCCTTCCGCTGCCTGTGCCACCGCGGGTACCAGGCGACCCCGGACGGGCGTACCTGCGTCGGTATGCACTGCCCGCCTTCCGCGCCCGCATACCAGACCAATGGGGCGATTAGCGCCGCCGCCTTCTCCTCCTCGCGGTGTCGCGGGGGTTCTGGACACCCCCAAAATGTGCAGAAGTGGCGAAGAGACCCCCCGCAAAATGTCCTGATTTGAAAAACACACCGACGCGGTTAACACACAACACACGTACGCATGTTCACGCGCACACACACGGCTCACACGCACACACACGGCTCACACGCACACACACAGCACAGCTGTGCTCACGGCTGTACCGAGCCCCAGGGGAGACCCCGCGGTGACCCCCGCGCTGCGCCGCCAGCGTGCCCCCTCAACCCAGCGGTCAATACCGGCCCCCCTCCCCGCCTTTTCCGACCCCCTTTGTTTCCCCCACCTGCCCCCCCCCCCTCCCCGGCCCCCCACAGACGCTAATGAGTGCGAGACGCTGTCGCGCGTGTGCGGGGAGGCGCTGTGCGAGAACGTGGAGGGCTCCTTCCTCTGCGTGTGCCCCCACGAGGAACACGAGTTCCAGCCCATGACGGGGTTGTGCGCACCGCGCGCCCGCGCAGGTACTGCGCCGCACCGCAGACGCTACACACTGCACACGCACCACATACACGCACACTGCACCACACACCGCACACACTGCACGACACACCGCACACACTACACACACCGCACACACTGTACCACACACTGCACACCACACACCGCACCACACACCACGCACCACACACAGCGCACACCACGCCACATACACCACACCACACACCGCGCCACACACTACACTGCACGACAGAAGACGAAGACAAGATCGTCCATTTAGCCTTCAACAGACTGTTGATGCGAATGCTGTTCACGAGTCACACCTATTAAGGCACCCGACGACATGTGCACTGATGTTTACACACCGCACAAGAAATCCATCTCAGGCTGAGTTGACCTAGGGTAGGCCCAGGACCGGTTCAGATGTTCGCCGTGAGCAGGAATCGAACTCGGCAAGTCAGGGTTCGTAGCACAGTGCGTTAACCACTGCCCAACCGCTCCCCACCCACATACACGCCGCCGCACGATCTCTCGCACCGCACGTGCTCCGTGCACTACGCCAGTGCGTTCCAAGTGACTGCCGTGGGGTTGGCGTGGAGGAGCTGTTGATTTCAGCGCAAACTCCGCGACAGACCCCGGCAACCTGAGCACCACCGCTACCCCCCCCCCCACTCCGGCCCCGCAGGAAACCCTCAAAAATACCACATCGCGCCCCCACCGTCCTGCCACGGGGTATTTATTGCCAGGAGTCGCCGGGGCTCTGAGTTTTGTTTTTCCCAGCTCGCAGATAGGGAGGCGGCGGAGTGACCACGTGGTCTCACGAACCAAGGCAGAAGGACATTGACCTGGTTTGTCCCGTCCCCGTGGGTCTCCGTGGGTCTCCGTGGGTCCCCGTGGGTCTCTGTGGGTCCCCGTGGGTCTCCGTGGGTCCCCGTAGGGTCCCCGCGTTGTGCAATAATTTAACGTGTGGCCAATTTCTCGGCGACAAGCTGCTGGCAGCCCGTCCTGTGGACGGGACGATTCTTCTTTTTGTATCGCGCCTTGTTTGGCACGATGTCCAACGGTCTGCGCCACATGCTGGGGGCTTCTTCGGGAACCGATTTGGGAAACTAACTTTCTCCCACCCAACCCATCCGCCCCGACACTGCATCGGTGACCTGAGCCCTCGTTAGGCTTCGCCCTCAAACACCAAAGGTGTTGCGATCTCGGTACACGTGGCCGGCTGTACGCAGCTCGCCACCAATCCCTACAGGGCCCTGAATTCTGCCGGTCGCGTGGAGCTCTCGCCGCCAACTTTAACACTCGAGCTGGTGCTGTGCCTGACCGGCTGACTGGAAGACGATAAATCAGGCCTGATAAAAATGTAGATATTTGTTTTCCCAAAGGGGTGGGTAGCGGATGGGGGGGCGAGGGATACGAGCTTGTAGTGTGCACGCCGATGCAGACAACAGATTTCATCGCGGCATCGGGCGCCGCCGGAGCGCTCATTGAAGACTCTCCACCTCCGTTTTAAAAAAAAAAAATCCGTGAAAAATTCCAGACACTTGAATAAACACGCACGGCCGAAGGGGCGGAGGTAGGGGGAGGGCTGGGGGGATGGGGGGGATGAGGCGATGGGGGGGGGGCCGGCCTCGCTGTCACCATTGGGCGATCGCGGGACCCGGGCAGGGGAGCGAACTTCCAGGCGACATTCCGGGGCCGGCCACAGTTGCAGCTGCTCGTACCCCCCGCTCGCAAAATAATGTTGATTATTACGTGTGTTTGGTCGCGTTGTGCTGGGTGCTGCTGGTGTCGGTAGAGGCGGGGGTGGGAGGAAAGTGGGGGGGGGGGAGTTCAGGAAACTTGGCCCAACATTTCAGCTGCCGTGCCGGGAGATCGAATAAAAGCAGTGACCCGTGAAGTCCAGTGGGCGAACAATATAAACTAAGATTTCGGGTGGGGTTTTTTCCTTCTATTTAGTTAAATCTATGAAAAAAAATCTAAAATTATCTGTGACGAATAACGGTCGTGTCATTTAAAAACATGGTGGTGAGGGGAGGGGGAGCAAATGTCTCCTTCCCCCCCCCCTGCCCTCCGCCCCCCGTGCTGCAGTCAAAAACGCGCGCCTTGTACATGGAGAGCGTTACACAGAGGACCAGAGTAGCGGAACGGCGGTGCAGCGGTTAACGCACCGCGCCATGAACCCGGCCCCCTGAGTTCGATTCCCAGCCATGGCCGTGAGAGATGAAACGCGAAAATCCGGCCTGGGCCCCGGGATGGATTTGTAGCATCGCAGACGGCTCCCTGGGGGAGGCCTGCATCCAGCAGTAGAGAGATCATGGCCGCGCTGGAGACGAGGCCACGGTGAAGGAGTCCGTGTTCACGTTTCGTGCGTTCTTTGATTTTTTTTTATTCAGAAAAATGTTCCCGCTCCGAGGAATTTCCACTCCCCGCAGGAGCACGGGGCAGATGGTGCGGAGAACCCCCTCCTCCTCTCCGTCTGTCGTTCAATGTTTCTGAAATCGTCTGTGTCTCCTCTCCCCGCGCTTCTCGCGCCGGCAGGGGTCGGAAAATCCGGTCACTCGGGCACAGCAGCAACAGTGCGCACGGAGAGGGGGGGAGAGGGAGGGAGGGGACGGGAACCTAGGGAGGGGGGGAGAAAGTGAGGGGGGAGAGGAGAGACGGAAGGAAAGAGGAAGGTAATGAGAGAGGGAGCAAGGGTGGGAGAGAGAGAGAGGAGAGGGAGGAAGGGAGGGAGGGAGGGAATGAAGGAGCAAAATGAAGAGAGTGGTGGAGAAGGAGCAAGGGAGCGAGCGAAAGGGGGAATGGGAAGAAAGGTAGGTGAGGAGAGAGCAGCAACACAGGGAGGGTGAGGGAGGAGAGGTGAAAATGAAAACTTGAAGGAGAGGTGGAGCAATGTGGGGAGCAGTACCAGCCCCACCCGTGTCCCTGTGCTCCCCGCCCCAGCCCTCCCCTCGTGTCTCGTTCTCTGCTCTGTTTCACCCAAACCCGCCACGCCCCAGGCCACACAGAGCCCTCTTTGTGTTTCCCCTCCCCGCCGCCTCCCCGACCTGGGGACCCGCCCGAGCTGAGAGCTCCCAGCTGTGGTGGTGCGGAGCGGCGGCGGTGGTGGTGGTGTTGCTATGGGAACGCCCAGCGGCAGCAACAGTTGTGGGCGAGGTGGAGATCCCAGAAGTCAGGCGAACATCCTCCCACTGCTCCCCATCCTCCTCAGAGGAGAAGCACGGCATGCAACGTGCACAGCCCCCACCCCCCCCCCCCCCCCCCCCCCCCCCCCCCCCCCCCCCCCCCCCCCCACAAACACCGTGTCCATCTCATCGCCTCTCCATCTCTCTAGGGCCCTGCTCTTCCACCGACTGTAGGGATCCCCTCTCATGTCAGCTTCCTGCTGCTTGCGCCAGTGTTTTGTGACACCGCAGTGGCTTAGCTATAACTCCAATGACCCCCCTCCTCTGCGTCTCCCCAGAAGTGTCCGCGGCGCACGGGGAGTGGGCGGGAGCTCACGGCCAGAGGCCGCCGCCGCCACCAGCGGCACCAGCGGCAGCGGCGGCGTCGATGCCGTCGGGCGACGCTCAGGGCGACAGAGCCGCGTGCTTCTACAGCCCCGGGCAGGAGGGGGGCGCGGGGGGCCCGGAGGACGGGGAGGAGGGAGAGGACGCCGGGGAGGAGGAGGGGTGCGGGGCCCCCCTGGGCGCGAACGTGACGCGCCAGGTCTGCTGCTGCACGGTCGGCACCTCGTGGGGCAGCTGCGACGGGCGGCGCTGCCCGCCCTTCGGCTCAGGTGGCTGCCTCTGGTCTCCGCGTGCGGGGGGGGGGACGGGGGGCAGCCACGGCACTCACTGTGGGCCTCGTGACAGCCCTTAACCCTCCTCGCTACAACCCCACGCTCGCACCACAGCTCTAACCTTGACCATAAACATAACTCGAAATCTACACCTAAACTCCTAGCCTTAACCTGGACCCTAACCAAAACCCTCACCATGACCCCTAGGCTTTAGCGAAAGCCATGACCCCTGCGCCCGGGCCCAAGTGACCCTAGCCCTAGTTCCACCCTTGACCTCACGCTGCGCCCGGATCACACCGCCTCCTCTCCCCTCTCTTTCTCTCTCCCCTCTCTTTCCTCTCTCCTCTTCGCCCCATGCAGCCGAGTTCCGGGAGATGTGTCCCAAGGGGAGGGGCTACATCCCCGCGGGGGACTCCGTGTACAGCGCGGGCAGGGGACGCTACAGAGGTGAGAGGGATGGTGAGGGTGACAACGTGAGGGTGAGAGTGTGAGAGGGAGGGTGAGTGGGTGTGAGTGTGAGAGTGAATGGGGAGCGGTAGTGTAGCGGTTAGCGCTACGCTGCGCTACGAACCTGGCTACCCGAGTTAAATTCCCGCTCACGGCCAACTCCGCTGACGATTATCTGAACCGATCCTAGGCCTCCCCTAGGTCGACTCAGCCTCAGATGAGTACCTGGTGCGGTGTGTAAACATCTCTACTAGGGAGACAAAGGCGGCTGGGCATGGTTCTGGCCACCAACCCCCTCGTGTGCCGTTCCGGCCTTCATAGGTGCTCGCTTATAGAACTTGCTACTCCAGTCTGTTAAGGCTGTACGGGGGGGGGGGGGGGGGGGGGGGCGGGGGGGAGGGGCGTGATCTTCGTCTTTGCACGATAGTGAAAGTGGATGTGTGGGGAGATGAGTGTGGGAGGGTGAAAGCCTACACGCGAGAACTTTGTCTTTGCGCGTGCGTCCCTGCTGCGCGACCCTAGACGCGGACGAGGTGCGCACTATCGGCGCCGAGATCTGCCAGCAGAGCTTCTGCATCAACACGGAGCCCGGCTACCAGTGCTTCTGCCGCGCGGGATTCGACTACGACCCCATGAAGATGCAGTGCTTCGGTGAGACACGCCGAGCCGTCACGGGGCCTCCTCCGCTGCGAGAAAGCGTCCGGGTTCGACTCCCGACTCGGGCGACTTTTTTCTGTGTGTGTGTGTGTGGAGTTGGTGTGAACCTTCCCCCCTGTTCTGCAGAGTGTGAGTGAGTTGTGGTGTGGTGTGGCCTTCATAGGTAGTCACTTACAGCACTTTCCCCAACGTCTGTTTAAGGCTATAAAGGGGATCTTTGTCTTTGCGGTGGTAACCACACCGCCCCCACGTGTGCCGTGCCAGCCTTCATTGGTGCTCGCTAGCAGTACTTTGCCCCTACCCCTACAGTCTAGTCAGGCTATACGGGGGGGGGGGGTCTTTGTGAGTGGGTGCGTGGAGTTTGTCTGTTCTCTCCCCCCTGTTCTTGCATGGGTTTCCTCCGGGCCCTGCGGTTTCCTCCCATCGCTAAAACATACCGCGCAGTGCAACAGCTATTGGCCAAAGCCACATCCCAATGCTGGAAAATGACCGCAAATTGCTCGGTGTGGATTGCACGCAGCAGCAGCAGCAGGAGCAACAATAAAAAAAACACCGTGGCAGGACTCTGCTGAGAAAGTCTCGAGACTCGGTGTGGCTCCCCTGCTGGCTGAACGAGCGGGACAATGCAGCGCGTAACCCCGCGGGGCCCAGAGCCGAAGGCGTGCGCTCACTCCGGGCCTTGCGTGAGCTCGGCTAGAACGCCGCAAAGCGTTCTCGCCGGAGAGGAGCGCACCGCCAATCGCCTCGTGTGCATTGCGTGTGACGTGGACAAAAAAATTGCCCATTGCTTTGAGGTGTGCGATTTCAATAGCAATTTCAAGAGCGATGACAAAATGCCAAGAAATTGTGTATCTAAGTTACGTGCATTCTCTCAAGACTCTACTGCCAATGTCTGCAGGCAAGAGGAGGTTGGCCCGGTTAGGGGAAGGGGTAGCGTTTGGAGTAGGGTTAGGGGTAGCGTTTGGAGTAGGGTTCGGGGTAATAGCAGTGGTAGATGCTGGTTGCTTAGGGGTGGGGGTTAGTAGCCGTGATAGGTGCTGGCTGGCCAGGGGTAGTAGCCGTGGTAGGTGCTGTTTGGCTATGCTCAGCGGCAGGGCTCGTACCAGTGGCGAGTCGGCGCGGGTGATTGGTGAGCGTTGTGAGCAGTGCGTGGGTTAACAACGCAGCGTCACCCCTGCAGCCACTGGAGGCGTTACAATCGGCACCCTCGAGCCGAGTTCACGCGGCCGAGGTCGCGAGTTTGAATGCGTTGCGAGTGGCTTCCATCTCTCCGCGCGGCACACGTTTTCGCTCCGCGAAATATCCCGGCCCCTTAACGAGGCTGCGATTACTCTGGCAGGGTAGGAGGAGGAGGGGGCGGGGGTAGTCGGGGAAGAGGGAGGGGGGGGGGAGGGCTCTGAACCCACGCCGTCCGCTCAGGTTGAAACGGGAGCGGAGGGGCCAGTGGTGGGTGGGTGGGGGGGGGGGGGGGGGGATCTGGCTGAGTGCCACCAAATTTCCAGGAATTTTGGATCCAACACAAAATCCACAACCCCCTCCCCTCGCCTCCGCTGGGGTCCGATTCGTGATGGGCAGCATTGGCTCACAGCAGGGGGAGGGGGTGGGCATCCCAACACCCCCCCCCCCCCCAGGTGTCTGGGTGGAGGCCGAGTAGAAAGCTGAGAGTGCGCGTTTGAGGCTTGCACATTCGCTGGAGGCTCTGTCTCCAGGATTTACAGCTCACTTGTCAATCCCCAGCTGGACTCATGGAGGTTGCTTGACCGTCCTCCACCACGCTTGCCAGCGCGGGTCGGTGACTTTGGTGGGATGAACCATGACTGGTTCAGGCATCATTCGTCACTGTGGCTGGGAATCGAACTCGGGTTGCCGGGTTTTTTTCAGCGAGCGCAGTGGGCTAATAACCGCGTCCCCGCTCCGACGCTCGTCAATATAATCACTTTGCAATTGCTCATTTCAGGCTGAGTCGGCCTATGAGGAGTGGCAGGACCAGTCCAGAGACGAGAATGAATGGGAAGCCACCCAAGGGGACGTAAAATGTGGCGTCGCGTGATGGTGGCGCTCTGGCAGCCGCGTTCGGAGTACGAGAATCGCGGTCTTCACGCCTGGAAGGGGTCACGAGCGCTTGAATGGATCGCTTCAGTTGCAGCGTGAGAAACGGGGGATTTTTGAGCGTGAGGAAGTCGTGCAGAGCAAAGAGAGACCCGACGAGAAAAGTTCGGCTCCAAATCGAGGATGAACCCGAAATTATCGTACGCCAACCACTCTCCAACTCTGTAAACAATGAACGGGAATATGAATTCTAAACCGGATCCCCACCACATTAGGGGCTCCTCCCTGCACACCCACCCCCCAATCCCGCACCACCGCCCTCCTCTCCCCCTCTATCTTATGTAACCCCTGCGGCTACTGAGGTTTAATTTAACCACTGATGGGGGAGTGCGTATGGTCGCCTCGACTAATGGCTCCCGTCTGCGTCGCTTGCACTCCCCTCCCGTGCTCCCCTCCCCGTGCTCCCCTGCCCTCAATGGCGGAGCCAGGATTTTCAGGTAGGGGGGGGAACCCCTCCAGCAATGAAAAGTGATAGGAGTTGTTAGTAAGTAAGGACTTGTCCCTTGCTTTTTATTCGACGCGTGTGCGGCGATGGCGCAGCCATCGATCGAGGGTCGAATTCGAACCGCGTTGTGTGATTGGCATCGCGCTCGCTGAAGGTTTTTGCCTTCAGGGAAGTCGTGTACTGTATGCGCAACTGCGCACAATTCTGCGAGTCACTTAAACCGCTTTGCCGTTACTTATTGTCAATGATGAACTATTGTCCTATTATCTCATAGAGTCCCTGACACATAATAATATTCTACACAGTGGCAGTGGGGGTCGCAAAATGCCGATTTATTACTAATAAACCCCAATGATCTGATCGAAATTAGGGATTTCGATCGGATCATTGGGGGGCCACGTGCCCCCCCCCCCCCCCCGAACTGGCTCCGCCAGTGCCTCCCCTCCTGCGCTCCCCTCCTCGCGCTCCGTCTCTTCTATCACGAGACGGGGCACTAATCACTGCCATACTGGGGCTGTGACCCTGTGACCCTGTGACCCTGGAGCTAGGAGCTGGGGATGAGATCTCCTGTGTGGAGATGGTGAGGGCGATAGTGAGGGCCATGGTGAGGGCCATGGTGAGGGTGATCGTGGTGACGGTGAGCGGTGGGGCTCACGCGTTGTAGCTCGTGCCTAAAGCTTTGCGCCGTGTGGGTGGTGCTGCTCAGGTTGATACTCTCACCCTCACCATCGCATCACCAGCGCCCTCACCATCACAACCATTATACTGGCCACAGTATTAGACACAACAGCACTCACCATCGCATCACCAGCGCCCTCACCATCACAACCATTATTCTGGCCACAGTATTAGACACAACAGCACTCACTATCGCACACCCGCCATCGCGCACTCGCCACCATCAACACTTACACCACGAGCCAACGCACGTTAGCCACAGAACTGCGTCAGCCACCGCGGTTGACCTCCGCTCGTGACCCCGCGACTCTTTGAGTCTCGGGCCCCTGCCCACGCCCTCCCCCCACCCCGCCCCGTTGCTGGCAACCGCTTCAGCTTTTGAGGAGAGGGGGCGGGGCGGGCGGGGGGCGCGGATTTAAATAAAAACTCAAAACTCGGTTGGAATTAAAACCAGGCGGGGCGCTGGGGATGGGCGGTGGGGGTGGGTGGGTGGGGGACTCAGGGATCAGGGGGGGGGGTGCAAGGAGGGGAGGGATGAGTGGGACTAACTGCAGGAAACTGATACACGACCCTGCGGACCGTGCCCTCCTGCCCCCACCGCGCTCCTCCTACTCCCTCTGCTCCTCCCCGTCTCTCCTCCTGCTCCCGCCCCCCGCGTTCTCCTGACCCCTCCCCCCCCCTGCCCCCCTCACCAGATGTGGATGAGTGTATGGACGCTCAAGCTGCGTGGGGGGGAGTGCGTGAACACCCCCGGCTCCTACAACTGCTTCTGCCGCCCCCGCAAGTCCTCGACGCCACCGGCCGCCGCTGCGGAAACAGCTCCACCCCGGACGGTACGGGAGTGCGCCAACCTGGTGATCCACCCGTGTGCTCCATCCTGGTGCTCCGCCCATGTGCTCCACTTGTGTGCTACACCCGTATGCTCCACCCATGTGCCCTATACCTCTGTGCTCCACCCATATGCTCCACCCATGTGCTCCACCCGTGTGCTCCACCCACGTGTGTGCCCCATGTAGGCGCTGCACCCAGATGCTCCACCTGTGCTCTCAATGCCCCTCACAGTGCTGCACCTACGTACTCCACCGAGATGCTCCATCTGTGCAAATCACACCACGTGATCCACCCGGTCGTGTCCACGCCGAGGCGGGGGGACACCATGGCTACAGGAGCCTGAAAGAGACTTCGAGTTTGTGTCTCCGAGTTACACCTTAACATTCCTGCTGCTGCTGCTGGTGGTGCTGCTGCTGCTGATGATGATGCTCATGATGGGTGGAGGTGATACCGTTGGTACTAATGATGGCGGTTGTAGTGGTGCTGGTGGCGATGCTGGTACTGATGTGTGCTGCTGATGATGATGATGACGGTGGTGGTACTCGTGCTGGTAGTGGTTATGCTAATTGGTGCCGTCGTCGCTACTGCCGCTGCGTCAGATGTGCCGGAGGAGATGGACATCCACATGGACCTGTGCTGGAAGCGCGTGAGCAGCGACTACATGTGCAGCAGCCCCATCGTTGGCAAACAGACGACCTACACGGAGTGCTGCTGCCTCTACGGGGAGGCGTGGGGCCACGAGTGTGCCCTCTGCCCCATGCGCACGTCCGGTGAGGACTCTGCACTCACCCCGCTCATCCAACTCACCCGGCACCCTCCTCACCATCAACGCGGAGATGCATTCCGTCACCCGCTCCCCTGTCCCGAGTGCCTCTCCTCCCCAAACGCGCGGCGTCGCCCCCTGGTGGGAAAGATAGAAGCGGGCGGGGGGGGCGCGACACGAGGAATAGCAGGGCAGCACGTGTGTGTGTGTGCGTACACGTGTGGTGTAACGGTTAGCGCGCTGTGCTACAAACCCGGTGACCCGAGTTCGATTCCCGCTCACGGCCAACATCAGTGACCATTATCTGAACCGATCCTGGGCCTCCCCTAGGTCACCTCAGCCTCAAATAAGTACCTGGTGTGATGTGTGTAAAAAAACATCACCACGAGGGAGACAAAGGCGGCCAGACGTGGTTCTGGCCACCCACCCCTCTTGTGCCATTCTGACCTTCATAGGTGCTCGCTAACAGAACTTGCCCCAACAGTATGTTCAGGCTATACGGGGGATCTTTGTCTGTTTTGTGTACACGTGTGATTGCGTGTGTGTACACGTGTGTGTGTGGGGAGCGGTAGTGTAGTGGTTAGTGCGCTGCGAACTCGGCAACCCGAGCTCAATTCCCGCTCAAGGCCAATTCCAAGTGATGATTTTCTGAACGGTCCTGGACCTCCCCTGCATGTACTGTATGTAGAACTGCATTCGCACCGTACGTAGCTAACGGTGCTAATCAACTCAGCCTCGAATGAGTGCCTGGGGCGGTAAACATCGCCACTGGGGAACAAGGCAGCCGGGCGTGGTTCTGGCCACCGAGCCCCTCGTGTGCCTCCCCGGCCTTCATTGGCGCTCGCCAACAGCACTTGTCCCAACAGTCTGTTGAGGCTGTACGGGGGGTCTTTGTCTTTGTGCGTGCAGCTGACTATGCCCACTGTGTATCTGCCCCGCGCGGGCGATGGGGGCCCGGGGAGAAACCTTCACGAGGGCTCGCACTTCGGGGAGGATATGCACGGCTCCCCCTACCTTGAGCCGGGGTTCGCGTACCAGGGGGGCCCGAGCCCCCCGCCGGGATGCTGCCCCTCTACATCACGGACGGAGACGGTGAGGGCTTTTCACAGCAACTGGGACACATTATCGCCATCATTAAAATAATAATATAATATGATCATGTCATAAAATCATTATCATTGTCATCATTAACATCAAATTACAATCCTTATTTATCAAAATAATCTTAAACAAACTGATCGTGTTTATTATTATGATTATCAAAGTATAAACATAATTATCATTGCCACCATCATCATCTTAATTTTCAGCGCCAGAATCATCACCCCCTTCAATATCATCTTCATCATGATCATCATATCAACCATTATCGTTATCACGTGCGTCATTGGTCACCGTCGTCAACAATCATGACCACCATCACCACCACTTCGATGCCATCGCAACTTCACTGTTCACGGGCCTCGTCTTCCACAAAGGTGGCGCGTGCCCCCTTCGCTCCTGAGCACCGCCCACACTCCCTCATTTTCTTGACCCCCCCCTCCTGACCCCCACCCCCAGGCTACTACGGCGAGGGTTCGGAGGGGCTGCAGGGGGAGGAGTGCGGCATCCTGAGCGGCTGTGAGAACGGGCGCTGCGTGCGCGTGCGTGAGGGGTTCACGTGCGAGTGCGACCCGGGCTTCCAGCTAGACAACTCGCGCATGCAGTGCCTGGGTACGGCCATGCACCGCACGCACCACACACCACACACCACCACCACACACACCACACCACACACACCACACACCACACCACACACACCACACACCACACACACCACACACACCACACACACCACACACCACACACCACACACCACACACACCACACACACCACACCACACACCACACACACACACCACACACCACACACACCACACACAACCCACACCACCACACACACCAACACACCACCAACACACCACACACCCACACACCCCACACACACCACACACCCCACACACACCACACACACCACACACACCACACCCCACCACACCCACACACACCACCACACACCACACACCAAACACCCACCACCACACACACACCACACACCCACACACCACACACCAAACACACCACACACCACACACCACACCCACACACCACACACCACACCACACACCACACACCACAAACACACACACACACAAAGACCGAGTACCAGATCCCCCGTATAGCCTTTAAACAGACATGTTGGGGCAAGTGCTGTTAGCGAGCACCCATGAAGGCCCGCACAGCATATGAGAGGGGTGGGTGGCCAACACCACTCCCGCCGCCTTGGTCTCCCAGAGGCGATGTTTACGCATCGCACCAGGTACTCATTTGAGGCTGAGTCCCTACCTTTGGGAGCCAGGACCAGTTTAGATAATCGTCACCGATTAACTAAACCGCTGTGAGCGGGAATCGAACCCGGGTCGCCAGGTTCAAGCGCAGCGCGCTAACCGCGACACTCCCCTCTCACCCCGGGGGTACACACACACACTCGTACACACAGACAAAGACAAGGGTCCCCCGTTTAGAAAATTAACAGGCTTGTGGGGGAAAGTGAAAAGCCTGGAACGGCACATGAGGTGGTGAGTGGCCACACCACGCCCGGCCGCCTTTGTCTCTCCCCCGTGATGTTGTTTTTCACACATCGCACCAAGTATGTATTTAGGGCTGAGGTTGACCTCGGGGAGGCGCAGGGTCGGTTCAAACATTCGCTATCATTATTTCTAGTAAGGGAGAATCAAACTCGGGTTACTGGGTTCGTCGCGTGGTGTGCTAACCACGATACTGCCGCTCCCCACACATATATACAGACCTCTATAGACACACCCACATATTCATCTCTATACATACCCTTCTACATTACTAAACACACACAGACCTCTGCACACACCTGTACACATATCAATGACATCTCTGCCACGCACCTGTACACACACACACACACCTGTACACGTGCCTGTACACAGCTCCCTACACACCTGAATACACATGCCTGTACATGCGTGTACAGGCATGTGTCTGTACACACATTACTGCGCACTACATCTGTGCACTCGTATTATTGTACACATGGTCACACTCTCTGCACGCCTCTCTACACATCTGCCCCCCACACCCACCGCCCCCCCCCCCCTGGCCATCCCCCCAACAGACGTAGACGAGTGTGAGGAGTCCAACCCGGGTGGTCCTCTATGCTCCAATGGCCACTGCACGAACACGGAGGGCTCCTTCAGGTGCAGCTGCCCCCAGGGCACGGCCCTGGGCCCCGACGGGCGCGTGTGCGAGCCCCACCGGGCCCCCAGGGCTCCCAGGGCCCCAAAACCCTCCAGGGCCCCAAAACCCTCCAGGGCCCCAAAACCTCCAGGTGCTCAGCCGCGTTCCCACCGCGCCCGCAGGGCCCCCCTAGCCGCTCCCTCCTGCTTCCCCCTCCCCTCCCGCTACCACCACTAATAATGTTATTGTTGTTGTGACTGCTGCCTCTCTGGTGTGTGTGTGTATGGTATCGCGTGATCCGTCTCCGTGGCCTCCTCTCTCTGGGGGGAGGGGTCCCATGGCCTCGGTGGCTGTGTTTGGTGCCGAGTCGGACCGTGCTCGGGGTGCTTGTGTGGGGCAGGTGGTGGCGACTTGGGGTGGGAGATGTGGGGATAAGAATGACGACGGGGAGATTTGGGAGAAAGGTAGGGGGGCTGGAAGAGACGGGGCGGGTGGGAATATCTCTCACGACACAGATGAAGGCCTCGTCATCCGCGACACGTGTCACTAGAGGTCACGTCAGGTCACGGGGTCGCCCCTCACTGACCGCCCCGCGGTGCCCCACTCCACGAAACAGCGCGAAGCCACGGTGGGAGCAGATCGAGCGGGGGGGGGGGGGGGGGGGGGGGGGGGGGGGGGGCAGTGAGCGATGTGTGATGTGCGTACAGGATGTAGAATGGGCAAAGGCGCTACCCAGCATTTGCTGGCTCACGCAAATGTGGGCGGAAGGGGCGTCCACTCGAGGCCACTCCGGTCGAGAGCCCCCTCGAGAAGGGCTATTTGGCCTACTCTTCCACGCTAACCCAGACGTCTGGAACGAGGCGGAATAACCCACGCTCTGCCCCACCACACACACGCGAACCCGACTGTGTGGTACCCATGTATATCACCGCTGGGTGGACTGCGGCGTTGCTGTATAACCTCGATTGGGCCACAGCTGATGAGCGGTGTCAGAAGCCTGGCCACTATTATGACATAATAATAATTATCAATGGGGATAATAATAGGCTGCATCCCATAACGCTGTTATTTGCCGCTTAGTTTACATAATTTAAGTCTCACTCGCAGCGGAGCCCCTGAGCAGCAGAGCCCCCTCCCCACGCACCCCCCTTTTATGTTTATATTGTCCATATTAAAACGACAAACGAATAATCAGACTTTTTAAGTAAAAACTATATATTGTTCCCTGCGCCCCTCCGCAGTTTTGCTTCCTCAGAGAGATGTCCGGTTCCCCCTCCCGCCCCCATCCAAACCCTGACTCCCTCCCCGCTAAATCCCCTGCATCCGGCCCTGACCCCGGGGGCCCCCGTGGGAACTCGCGAGTGAAGAGGTAGGGACCGCGGTGCCCGCGTGAACTCGCGATGCGTGCGCGCGTCGACCGTGCTTCTGGTGCTACAGTCACCGCGTGGAGCCACTCGAACGTGAAAGCGGGCTGCTGTTGCTGCGTTCGGAAATGGTGCTCAAGCTCAGACTTGAAACTCAAACCTCGCGCCCCCCCCCCCCGCACCCCTCCCAGCACCGCTGCCTCGTACACAGCCAGGGTCTGAATTCGGCCGGGTCTCTTCGGGTTCGGCGACAAGGGAAATTGTTCTACGGTTGTGCCGTGGAGTGAAACGTCGGACATCGTGCCAAACAACACGCGGTCCAACCCCAAAAGCTAAAACTGAAAGATGTACTGCACAACCGACGAAAACCCACGCACGACCGTGGCCAGGTTAATATTTACCTGCCACACCACTTCTATAATATACCTTCGTTGTGACCACTAGCCACTGGCGCCTACGACTCTAGTCTAACAGCGACCCTGAAAATGTTCAGTGAGATATCACCCCCGCCCCCCCCCCCCCACTCTTAGAACATTAGAAAATAAATAATTCCACTTATTTATCCGGAAGAAGGCTCGCTGAGCCTTAAGATTAACTTTTTGAAGGTGGGTGCTGCTACATTTGGATGTTTGGCGATGAATGCCACGGAGCACCGGGGGCAACCACCCTTGGCTGTGCTGCCATCTGGCCACCTCGCAGCCCAAGCCTAGGACACGTGGTGGTACCCCCGAGGCAGCCTCCTCTCGCCCAAACACTGAGCAGGCTTAACACCGCGCTTACCTTCCGAGATCCGACCGGGCGCGGGACAGAGGTTGAATAGTTTGGCCGTGGGACGGTTGCCCTGTGGAGGCTGAGGTAGGACCGTTGCCCGAAATGTCCACGTGGTGGCGTATTTGCTGCTGGGTGCGAGGCGGCAAGGTGCGAGGCGTGGTGGCCGTGGTGGGTGCTGTTGATTCGCGGGGCCGGGAAGAGCGTCCGGGAGCGAGGAGTCGGAGCGTCCCCGCTTGGCGGTTGAAGCGCGAATCACGTGGTGGTGATGATGATGATGATGATAAATTGTTTGTTGTTGTTTTTTTAATATGAAATGTACAGTTCATTTACACGATGCAGTGAGTATCTCCGTAAAGAAAAAGTTTGTTTTGTAAAACAACCCCCAAGCTGTCGTGGTCTGTGTGGAGCGTCTTGTGCATCGCCGCCGTCACCATCGTCCACACTCCGCCCTGAGGGGCATTCCCCATAATCCACATGTTGGCCTATGGGGCAGTTCGTTTCCCTGCCATTCGTTTTTGTCCGTCCTTCCGTTTGTTACCCTTACACTAAGATTGTTTTAACGCTTGAATTTAGTAAACAAAAAATCTATCGGCTTTTCGTGTCCCGGCACGGCAGCGGTGCTCCGGCTTTCGCGGCAGGTTCGCCGTGGAGGTCGCCGCGATTTGGCGCTCGGCCCCCGTGCTTGCAAGCGTAAATGAATCATTTGGCGGGACCCCGGGGTCCCGCAAAAATCAGGTCAATAATTATTATTTTAAGTCCGCCCACTCGTGATTCCGACAGCAACGCGCCGCCCGCCCAGACTCGCGCCAACAAGCGCCAGCAGCAGGCGGCGATCGACACGATGGGCGCCACCCCACCGGCCAATCGCGAGCCCCGGGGGCGTCCGCCGCAGTCGCGCGCGGCGACGACGCCCTCCGGTCAGACGTCGATCCTCGGCTTCTTTGCCAAGGCGAGCCCCGCCGCCGCCGCCCCCCCAGGCAGGGAATTTAACGTGTTTATGTAATTTTTCAACTTTTTACGAAACTTAGTGCCCCGAGTAGCTCTCGACGAGGCCAATCGATTGACACTAGTTTTGTTGTCGGTAGGGCAAGACTCGTGTCGCTACGCGGGTTTTCCCACCCCGGGGCAGTGATGGGACCCCGAGGTCCCGCCAATTGCTTCAAATGTTGAAAAACAGATTACGGTCGTTGATTTGTAGGATGAGGATTTAATGAGGGGAGGGGGGCCGTTTTCAATAAAACAGCGCCCCCCAGTGGATAGAGCGTCCCCCCCAGTGATGATAGAGCGCCCCCCCCCCAGTGATGATAGAGCGCCCCCTCCCCAGTGATGATAGAGCGTCCCCCCCCCCAGTGATGATAGAGCGTCCCCCCCCCCCAGTGATGATAGAGCGTCCCCCCCCCAATGATGATCAGAGCGTCCCCCCCCCCCAGTGATGATAGAGCGTCCCCCCCCCCCAGTGATGATAGAGCGTCCCCCCCCCCAGTGATGATAGAGCGTCCCCCCCCCCCAGTGATGATAGAGCGCCCCCCCCCAGTGATGATAGAGCGCCCCCCCCCAGTGGTGATAGAGCGTCCCCCCCCCCCAGTGATGATAGAGCGCCCCCCCAGTGATGATAGAGCGCCCCCCCCCCAGTGATGAAAGAGCGTCCCCCCCCCCAGTGGTGATAGAGCGCCCCCCTCAGTGGTGATAGAGCGTCCCCCCAGTGATGATAGAGCGCCCCCCCCAGTGATGATAGAGCGCCCCCCCCCAGTGATGAAAGAGCGTCCCCCCCCCCAGTGGTGATAGAGCGTCCCCCCCCCAGTGGTGAAGTGGTGATAGAGCGTCCCCCCAGTGGTGATAGAGCGTCCCACAGTGGTGATAAAGCATCTCACAGTAGTGATAGAGCGTCTCACAGTAGTGATAGAGCGTCCCCCAGTGGTGATAGAGCGTCCCACAGTAGTGATAGAGCGTCCCCCCAGTGGTGATAGAGCGCCCCCCCAGTGGTGATAGAGCGCCCCCCCCCCATGTGGTGATAGAGCGTCTCACAGTAGTGATAGAGCGTCCCCACAGTCGTGATAGAGCGTCCCACAGCAGTGATAGAGCGTCCCCCCAGTGGTGATAGAGCGTCCCCCTCAGTGGTGATAAGAGCGTCCCACAGTGGTGATAGAGCGTCTCACAGTAGTGATAGAGCGTCCCCCCAGTGGTGATAGAGCGTCCCCCCAGTGGTTATAGAGCGCCCCCCCCCCCCCATGTGGTGATAGAGCGTCTCACATTAGTGATAGAGCGTCCCCCCAGTGGTGATAGAGCGTCCCCCCAGTGGTGATAGAGCGCCCCCCCCCCCCCATGTGGTGATAGAGCGTCCCCCCAGTGGTGATAGAGCGTCCCCACAGTCGTGATAGAGCGTCCCCCAGTAGTGATAGAGCGTCCCCCCAGTGGTGATAGAGCGTCCCTCCAGTGGTGATAGAGCGTCCCACAGCAGTGATAGAGCGTCCCACAGCAGTGATAGAGCGTCCCCCCAGTGGTGATAGAGCGTCCCCCTCAGTGGTGATAAGAGCGTCCCACAGTGGTGATAGAGCGTCTCACAGTAGTGATAGAGCGTCCCCCCAGTGGTGATAGAGCGTCCCCCCAGTGGTGATAGAGCGTCCCACAGTGATGATAGAGCGTCCCCCCCCCCCCATTGATGATAGAGCGTCCCCCCCCCAATGATGATAGAGCGTCCCCCCCCCCCCCAGTGATGATAGAGCGCCCCCCCCCCCCCCAGTGATGATAGAGCGTCCCCCCCCCAATGATGATAGAGCGTCCCCCCCCCCAGTGATGATAGAGCTTCCCCCCCCAGTGATGATAGAGCGCCCCCCCCCCAGTGATGATAGAGCGCCCCCCCCCCAGTGATGATAGAGCGCCCCCCCCAGTGATGATAGAGCGCCCCCCCAGTGGTGATAGAGCGTCCCCCCCCCCCCAGTGATGATAGAGCGCCCCCCCCCAGTGATGATAGAGCGCCCCCCCCCCCAGTGATGATAGAGCGTCCCCCCCCCAGTGGTGATAGAGCGTCCCCCCCCCCCCAGTGGTGAAGTGGTGATAGAGCGTCCCCCACCCCAGTGATGATAGAGCGTCCCCCCCCAGTGGTGATAGAGCGTCCCCCCCCCCCCAGTGATGATAGAGTGCCCCCCCCAGTGATGATAGAGCGCCCCCCCCCCGTGGTGATAGAGCGCCCCCCCCCCAGTGGTGATAGAGCGTCCCCCCCCCCCAGTGGTGAAGTGGTGATAGAGCGTCCCCCCGCCCCCAGTGATGATAGAGCGTCCCCCCAGTGATGATAGAGCGTCCCCCCAGTGATGATAGAGCGCCCCCCCCCAAGTGGTGATAGAGCGCCCCCCCCCCAGTGATGATAGAGCGTCCCCCCCAGTGATGATAGAGCGTCCCCCCAGTGATGATAGAGCGTCCCCCCAGTGATGATAGAGCGCCCCCCCCCAAGTGGTGATAGAGCGCCCCCCCCCCCAGTGATGATAGAGCGCCCGCCCAAGTGGTGATAGAGCGTCCCCCGCCCCCAGTGATGATAGAGCGTCCCCCCAGTGATGATAGAGCGCCCCCCCCCAAGTGGTGATAGAGCGCCCCCCCCCAGTGATGATAGAGCGTCCCCCCCCCCAGTGGTGATAGAGCGTCCCCCCCCCCAGTGGTGAAGTGGTGATAGAGCGTCCCCCACCCAGTGATGATAGAGCGTCCCCCCCCAGTGGTGATAGAGCGTCCCCCCCCCCCAGTGGTGAAGTGGTGATAGAGCGTCCCCCCCCCCAGTGATGATAGAGCGTCCCCCCCAGTGATGATAGAGCGCCCCCCCCCAAGTGGTGATAGAGCGCCCCCCCCCCCAGTGATGATAGAGCGTCCCCCCCAGTGGTGATAGAGCGTCCCCCCAGTGATGATAGAGCGCCCCCCCCAAGTGGTGATAGAGCGCCCCCCCCCCCCCCAGTGATGATAGAGCGTCCCCCCCAGTGGTGATAGAGCGTCCCCCCCAGTGGTGATAGAGCGCCCCCCCCCCCCAAGTGGTGATAGAGCGCCCCCCCCCAAGTGGTGATAGAGCGTCCCACACTGGTGATAGAGCGTCCCACAGTAGTGATAGAGCGTCCCCCCAGTGGTGATAGAGCGCCCCCCCCCCATATGGTGATAGAGCGTCCCACAGTCGTGATAGAGCGTCCCCCCAGTGGTGATAGAGCGTCCCCCCAGGGGTGATAGAGCGCCCCCCCCCCCCCATGTGGTGATAGAGCGTCTCACAGTAGTGATAGAGCGTCCCCCCAGTGGTGATAGAGCGTCCCCACAGTCGTGATAGAGCGTCCCACAGTAGTGATAGAGCGTCCCCCCAGTGGTGATAGAGCGTCCCTCCAGTGGTGATAGAGCGTCCCTCCAGTGGTGATAGAGCGTCCCACAGCAGTGATAGAGCGTCCCCCCAGTGGTGATAGAGCGTCCCCCTCAGTGGTGATAAGAGCGTCCCACAGTGGTGATAGAGCGTCTCACAGTAGTGATAGAGCGTCCCCCCAGTGGTGATAGAGCGTCCCCCCAGTGGTGATAGAGCGTCCCCCCAGTGGTGATAGAGCGTCCCCTCTTCAAAAAAGGTCCGCCTGCATCAGAGAGAACAAAATCAGATACTACGCTGCAAAGTCCTGGTGAAGACAGTACATGATCCGGATTTCTAGACATTGTTTCGTCGGAATAACGCTGACAAAATATATATTTTTAAGTGTTCCCGCTTCATTTATACGTTTGTGCAAAACACAAAGCACTGCACTACAGCGCCCTAGAGGATTTAATGCATGCTTTGGTTTATAAATCGTTGCCTTGTACTGCACCACGGGAAGGAGGTGCTTTGGCAGGGAAGAGCCGAAAAGAAGGAATGGAAACTAACTATGCACCTTCTTGGTTCTTTCGGTAAAGTCACGTAGAATGGAAATAAAATAATAAAAATAAAACATAATAACATAAAATTCTCACGACGTTTCGGCCACAACACAAGTAGCCTTCCTCAGGTGAAGAAACAGAAAGAACCAAGAAGATGAAATCCTGCAGTCACGAAAGCTTTAAATCGAAATGTAACTATGCACCATGAAGTAAGACCACTCTAGTCTGCGCTCCTTCAACGAAGGAACAGGAAAACTACGCCAGCTTTCTCTGCTGAGGCCCTCTCGTCGTGGCCAGCAGACTTCGACATTGGCGTTTAGCTCTTGAACATATTGCTGCCACCATACTCAAGTACGTACGGAATAGCCGTGTAACTCTGTTATGGGGCCCGGCACATTACTTAATAGGTAAACGCAAAGCAATCATCGTCCCCGACCGCAAAAATCTCTCGCAGTAGCGGGCGACAATTAAGATAAATAATATTTAAAAATATTTTTAAAAAACACACGCTTTAATGAAATGTACCGTACGA